AAAAGTTTATTGAAAAGCCATCGACTTCAAACAAAGCAACAGAAATCACAAGCAGTGGAAGCGGAAGAGGAGAGGGAAAGAAGAAGAGCAAAAACCAGAGAATCAAAAACGAAAAAACGCATAATTATGAAAGTATGCAAAGAGCGTGGGTTAACAAAGAGGGACAGTGAGTGAGAGAGAGAGAGCTAGGGAACGGCATTGCGTGGGTGATAGCCATTAACTCTTTTTCAAACAATTTTTCCGCCCGGGCTTACATTTTCCATGTTAATAGTATGCAAACACAAAATCATAAAGCAAAAAAGATGACGGCAAAAGCAAAGCGAAAAGTCAAAACGGAGAAAAAACAGAAGCTACAGCAAAAACAACAAAATAAGGACAGGAAATACGCGCAATATACAAAAACCAAAGAGTTAGAGAGAGATGCAAGGAGAGAAAACCGACAGTCAGACGAAGGAAGGAACAGAAATCAAGAGAATATTTTTCGCGCGATTTGCGTCAATGAAAAAAAAAAGAAAGGGAGACAGGAACTGGAAAAGGCAGAGGCAAGTGGATAGCAGCTCCTACACAGTACATTTTTTGCAATTAAAAAAGGAAAAGCCGTGCAGTCAGGGGAGAAATATAATAAACACAGCACAAGGTAAACAAATCAACTGTAAATTCGCCAAGAATAAGAGAGCACGCCACATGACCCCTCACACACATGACAAAGAGAGACAGCAACAAGAACATGAGGAATCGGCAACTAAATCAGCATCAGAATGGCCCAAAAAAGGGGAGAGGGGCCCGAAAGAGAACAACACAGAAAATGAAAACAAAATTGTAAAACACCAACAACAAAAATACACACACGCACATTACAACGGAAGAAGGCAGAGAGGGTGCGGGACGGGGGATGAGCGCACACAACTTGTCTGTCAGCAAACCACAAAATATGAAACAAGAGACAAACGTGCAATAATATAAGGGTGAGGCATTACAAGAGAGTGGTCTAATCGTCTAACGACGATTGCCATGTATTTTTCAAAAACAGATGGTAGCCAATAACAACACCCAACTTGGCTGAGCGATTTTAGCCTAACCTTTTATAAATACACCTTGCACGAGACATTCGAAACAAACATACGAAACAGAAGCAACAGAGGAGCAACAGCAGCGACAATGAAATGCGGCAACAGCGCATGAATATTGACATTGCGTTACCCTTCTCTCCAACAGCAGAAGCAGAGCAGAGGCAGCGGCAGCATACAACGGGGGCGGACGCAGGCGGTTCAATCTGCTTGCTGTTGTTGTTTGTCTGTCTTCCGTCGCGCCCTCGCGACGACGCAGCCGGCCTATGTATACATGAGGACAGCGCTTTGGTGTGTGCAGCAACAGCAGAACACACACACACACACAAACACAACAGCCGCCTCAGCAGAAACTGAAATTTCAAAGCAGCAGCAGAACAGATACAGAGTCATACGGGTGGCTCAAGACGAGGTCGCCGAACAGTGTTAACACTGAACAGAATGTTGATAGTTTTAGGTGGAGTCTTACTTTGGAGCTAAGCATTCCAACCAGAAGTTATGGTGGTCTAGTTTTTCAGCCATCAATTACCACTTAATTCCCCATAATACCCGATAAGATGACCCTCGCTTAATTTATTTTGCTGCACAGTGTAAAAGTTCGAAGTTTGTTGTTTCTCCGTTTTCTGCCTCTACTTCTTCTTCGAAGTTGCTGCTGCTAACCCACACAAACACAGCGGCTCTCCCATTTTTATGCTTGGGCTTGCATGTTCCTTCGTTACGTTTCGTTCATTTACAATTTACAACGCGCTCTTTCGCTCTACCATTTGCTCGCTCTCTTCTACTACTCTCTATCACCGCAAAATGTTTTTGCTTTTGATTCATTTGTGGTAACCCTTTAATTATTGTTGCATTTGCTTTGTTTTTTTTACTTTTTATTGACCAATTGCAATTATTTTTACTGTTCTATTGAAATTACACGTGTAATAGACAAAGCTCTCTCGCTGCACAGTTCATGTTCTCTATCTTACACTCTCTCTTTCACGATCGTTGTCTAGTGTAATTGACAAATGACGCAGATTACTTTTGTGGCGGGACGCGATCTTTTCCATTGAACTTTGATTACAGCGAGAAAGAGAGAGCGCATCGAAATGGCAAATTATCTGTCATTATCCGTACTGCAACTGTGTGTGTTTGTTCGTACGTCTTTGTAAGCGAAACGACATCACTGATAACTTTTTGACATCAGCTCGGCTCTGTCGACAAGTTACTCTCCTGCTTCCCCTAACAACGACTTAGTCTAAAGAAAAAGGTACAAACAATATGGGGGGTTGTGCGGAAGAGCGTAAGCAATGGCAAAGTGCATGCACACGACACTGCAACAGCGACAGAAACAGCAACAACTGTTGTAAAGCAAAGTGCAAAGTAAATGAAAAGAGAGACAAGCAAATGGGAGAGGGACAGTGACGAGGCACCGCCGACGCCACACGTGAATAATAATTGAAAAAGAAGCGAGTGCAAGTGAATAAGATAGATGGTAATTATGTGCTGTACACAATGTAAATTAATGAGAAGGTGAGGCAGTGTGAAAGAATGGCGACTGTGTGGGCAGCCAAACGAGAGATAGACAGCAGCGAACCCCTGAACTAATATCCCCTTGCCAGAACACATGTCTGAGATGAGATACCTGCCAAGGGGCGAGGGAATGAGAAACTGGAAAACAGCGTAATGAAATAAGAAAAATTGTCCATAAGTAATACTAGAAAGACCAATAGAACAATCCAAAATATGCACAAACATACTAAAGATCGCAGCAAATGGGATAACATTAAAAATCTATTTATGCTCTCTTCTTCCACCACAAGCGTGTTTAGGTAGCGGCGACTTGCTGATCCGACAGGAAAATCCTATATCAATAACCTTATCGCTGTCTGCCGCCAATGGAATGATATTCCAAGAAATGTAAGAAAATAAACAGAAACAGTATGCGGCTGTGGCAGAAAAATATTAAAGACAGAGGGAGAATGCGGGAGCGGTACAGATAGCATGCATAGACAGGTCAGAAGAAGAGTCGAAGGAGGAGTGAGTGAAGCAAAGCCAAAGGAGAGAGAGCATATAGGGTTTGACACCTTTTCAGGTGTGAATGAGACGCAGTGCTGTCCTACTAGTAATGTTCCTCATCTCCCTCTCTCTTAGCTGATGGACATGCCAATAATGCTAATGAACGTAAAATGCGTAAATGAGATAGAGGAAGAGCGGGGGAGCAATCACAGACATTAAACTGCTCTCTCTCTCTCTTTCCCCTCTCGAACTCTATATCGCAAATACACACACATACTGTTACTCCATCTCCTGGGCCACTCATCAATGTTCCGAGCACGTTCTCTGAATGTTTTTGGCGACGCAGGCAAACAGGAGGAGAAGTATGTACACGTTGAGGATGAAGAAGAATAGCAAGAGAAGGAGTCGGAGTAGGAGAACGAGCACATGTAGATGGAGAAGCAGAATAGCCATAACCGCAGACCAGCAGAGACGGAGAGAGCAAATGCCAATTTTGGCAAAAACAAGTGACAAACAGGACAAAAGATGGACGGAATGGCAAAAACAAGATTACTTCGAGTCGCCCCCCGATTCCGACCACCACCCAAAAAGGGGGAGGGTAAAGGCCATCGCAATATTCATGCTGGGGAGTGTTGTAGTAAGAGGACGACCATGTGTGTGTGTAGAAATTGTTCGGTCCAATAAGTCACACACCAACAACAAAATGAAAAGGCAGCCAGCAAACAAACAAACAAACAAACAAACAGAGAGGTAGAGAGAGAGAAACAGCAATCGAAATTGGCAACAGCCGGATGCTTTTGTTGGCCAACTACTTGACTGGTTGACGTTGGCACCGCCAGCCAACGATATTGGAGATCATCATCATCGTGACCAGAACCAGACCCAAACTACAGGAAAAAGCTAGAGATGGTAGCAGATTGAAGAATTCACGACCACAGTTGATTAAATCACAAGAAAGTACTCATAAAACAATCGGAAATCAATCGTTAGAAGAACCCAATCCATTGAAAGCTGTACGACTTATTCATCTCTCACATTATAAAATAAAATATCATAGCACAATAGAACAGAGAACAGATGTTGGCAATTAAAAATTGTGATTTATTTAACCTTACCCGTCGCGATGCACAGAACGAATCTGTCATCACTAAATGGGAGAGCGGGACTGGACTGAAACGAACGTCAAAATTAGTTGGACTCGATGACCAATTGCAGATTTGCAGCCTTATTTGAAAAGACAAGACCCCCATCCACCATCACCAGGCGTAGAGAAGAGCGGCAGGCAGCCTTGTCTATGACTCCAATACAAACGTACGTTTGTACGTCTATGTGTCCATGCATTTTGTTGCCATATTTATGCGTTCGCAATGCAGACGTTTTTAATGTCTTCTCTTTCGAAACAAAAACAAAAAAAAAGAGTGGGAATGAACTTGTAGTTGCTCTTTCCAATCCATCATGCATGGTTATCTTGGTTCTAGCTATGTTCAGAGATTGGCCAAACGTTTAGTCAAAATCATGGTACTATTTCATACAACAGAGTAGAACCAGAGCAGAGCTTCACTTCATTATCTGCGTCATTGTGTGGCAGCCTCAAATTGCATCGAGTGCAATGCCTGGGGTGACTTCATTGTTGCATCTATTGATTATGTTCTCCCCGCACTCCCCTCAGTAACCCGTCTCACTCTGTTGACCAATTTTGCATAAGCTTCCAGAGAGTAGCACAAGGAGAGAGGGAGGCGGGTAACGAAGGGATAACATAACCCCAAACCGCAAAAACAACATAAGTGAAAAGGAAATGAAAGCAGAGGCTGATATGGGGGCGGGCAGACACTCAAGGTGGGAAATGTGGGTGAAGAAACACAGAGAATTCGATAGAGAAGAAGTGCGTGCATATCCGAAATTGATTCACCACAAGGGGGCGACAGCGACACTTACCTGATCTACGGCTTGGGTGGCGGCCACCAGGAGGCCCATCAGCAGTGCAGAGAGCATCAGACATTTACCGTTGCAATGCAGCGACACTGTCGTCACCAGCGTGCTGGTCCTCTGCTTTGGCATCATTCTTCTCTCAGTGGTGTTGTGGGCGTCGGCGTCAACGTCGACGTCGCTGTCTTTTGATGATGGGAGCAGCGGCTGGAAAGATCTTCCAGTTTCTGTTTATTGATTTGTAGCGGGGCGGCGGGTAGCACTACACTCACTATGAATATTTCTCCGATTCACGATCTTGTTACGATCTTTGATAAACTGGTTTTAAACTGCAAAATACACACAATTTATACGGAGAACACTTGATTAGAAGAGCAACACTTGAGGATCGATTACGCTATCAATTAAATTCCGCGAGAGAGCCAGAGAGAGAGTGAGAGAGAGATGGAAAGAGTGCGCGAGCGGCTAAAATCAAAGCACTAGTTGTGGGAGGAACAGGGAAGGGTGGTAAACAAAGCCAAGAGAGGCAAAAACGGTTTCCGTCTGTGTCTCTCTATATGTGTATGTTGCCGTCTGTGCGAAGGTGGTTGTAGGGTGGATTTGGCCCAAGGATCAAATTAAATTAAATCGATTGATATGTCACAGTAGACATTTTTACTATAGCTCTGTAAATCGAGCTAACCATTCATTAGCATAGAACACTTTTTTTATTGAGAGGCGCTCCTAACTTGATTTTTCATGGCGGCGGCTAACCGCCCACCACTACAGCCACACTACACCATCCACAAACACACAGGCACACACGAGCTCGCTCTCCTCTCTATGTCGCTCCTCTCGCTCTGGCACACGCTAACTGCGGGCACGGCGGCTTCTTTATGTGGCTCTTCCTCTTCTCTTCATCGCGTTGTTTGGCTTTGGCTTGGTTACATTTTATTTATTTTATTGGTATATTCTGCCAGACCTTCTTTTAATTAAATATATTGCACAGAATACGCCGAGCGTATTTCCACGGATTCTCCAATTACACTTACAACGCGTGTCGGCTATAAATTGTTCCAAAAATTTCTTTACACTCGTTGGATGGGGGGGAAAAACACACACAGAGAGAATGCGCAATCACCGACCGACGACATTCAGTAATTTTTTTCGAGTCCGCTTTACGCGTTCGTTTGGTAAGAAAAGCAACGGAAAACTTTGAGCGTGTGCGTGAAACACACATGGACACAGTGTATGTGAGCGCAGGGCATAGCTAAGTTTCAGGTAGGGACAACTTAGAGAGTCTGTTTTTGAGTTACCCAAATGTCGAGATATGCCGAAACAATCAGAACATAAATAACATGTTTTCGTTGTTGTTTGTTGCAGTTTATGTTTTATATTTGAGTGTCGTCATTAGGGAAAACACCTTGCTTGGACACTACCTATTTTCATACTATACCTTGCGGCTGGACTGCGTTAATTTCGTTGTTCGAATTTAAATACTTTCAGCGTATTTTTACGTTTTTGGCATTATTTCTTGATTTTATTATTAATGTTGGCATAACCGAGAGTTGGTCGATGTTATCAGGATTTTTAAGTAGAATTTAATTTGAAAATGTTTGGCGATTCAATTGAAAAACTAGTGAAAATGTTAATTCGACGGTTGAGTTAAAGAACCAGTGAATTGAACCAGCAAGACCTTTTCCACAGCACTGGATTTTTTGGTGTTACTGTATATTTCTGAGGGTCAGACGGTATATTTGATCGACAAATACGCGGTCACACTGTTATTCCCAAAGTATTCGGGGCAGGATATGAACATTTAAGGTATATGGTAGACTTTTCAGGATATTTTGACTACGTAATTGAGTTGTTCATTGTATATTTACGGTATATCGATATAGAATGGTATATTCAATGAATTTCATCGGTCCATTAAACTACATATTTGCGTACATACAATAATATAGGGTATCCAAAATCGCATACGCATGTTTTTCAAATATCCCTCGAGGAGTTTTTCTCTTTTGCGTTGGGAATTTTCTCTCTTTTGAAGGGATATTTCTCTCTTGCAACATGGGATAATCCATCGCTACAATGAGTCTTTATTCCATCCGCACTTACGTATTTTACCGTTAGCAACATCATTTGTAGGAACCAGCAACATGCTGCGAAAAGTGAGCAGCATGCTGTGGAAACTAAGCAGCGTGGTTCCCCAACATTTTGCACGGAATAAGCAACATAGTACCCTAGGAGAGATGGATATCTTCGGATTTAAGAAATTTAGGAAATCTCTGGCTCCAATCAATGCAAACAAATTCTATCTGTGTTGGTAAGCCATCTCAACCCAATTATGCATATACCGAGAATCTCTGTAGATCGATATACATACGTATATATGTGCATAGAAGGCATATGAAAGGGTTAAAAGTATGTCAGTCTAAGATAAAGTCGTTATTAACGTTTAAGAGAAGCTTTGAAAATGCAATTTTAATATTAAGTTATGGAAATAAGGTATAAACGAAGTTACTATACCATATGTACATACCAGTTGACAATCAACAAATTGTCATGGTACGTTGCATTTCGTTCCCCATCACGTAACGTTTTATGCTATTTTTGTTGGTTAACCTTTTTAGTTTTAAGCTTAATGTGGAAACAATCCAAGGAGTATTGATTGATAAATTGGATAAAATGGTAGTTTTAGCGCGGAGACTCCTAACTAGCTAGTAATATCAAATAGAACATCAACATCGGTGAACATTTTTTAAGATTCACGGTATATTTACAGTATATTTGGAAAATGCAAGGGTATATTTCCGAGGGTCAGGCGGTGTGAATTTTATCGACAAATCCGCGGTCACACTGTATAGGATGTATTCGGGGTTTTTGTTAAAAAATAAGCCATAAAAACAAAGTAAATAAGGTAATTATAGCTGTCCGAGCTGGCTACGCAGTAGACCCTGATAAGGCGCACTTTAAATGGTCTCACGTCTTTGCCGAAAACTTACTGATGTGATGATTCATGGAGCTAAAAGCTTTGTTGTTTTTTTCTTTTTTTCTGCTATTGCGTTCCCACACACATCGCTGCCTCCCACTCTCTCTTACCCCCCCTCCATGCAAACCCTTTTCCACCAATCAATCATCGAATGTGAAAATTTCGCATTCGTTTAGGCCTGGCTTATTACGTATCCGCCGTCTCTTCCATGCGATCAGAGCGGCGCCATGGATCTGGTGGACATTGATCAGGTCTTGGACAACCTGGAATTACGCATCGCCGCCGACGAGCAGGAGAGCAGAAATGCAGCAGCAGCAGCAGCGGCGGCGACAGCTACAGCTACAGCAGCAGCAACAACGGTAGACTCTGGGCACACTCGCCCAGTGGGTGACGGAGCCAGTGCCTCCAATGGGGGTGGAGCGGCAGTAGCACCTCCAACCAAAAGCTTTGTGGGCGTCTCGCAGGTGTTCAACAGCCTGGACGACTATCGCAACAATGTAAAATCGCTGGCGGTGGACAACCAGCTGCCCAGCTACAACTGGCAGGCGGAGCAGTCACTCGAGCACGCGCGCGACCTGGATGACAGCTTCGATGACATCAACAAGTTCAGCGAAGGGCAGGAGAAGCGCCCGAACGAGGCCATTGTCTCCTCCTCCGAGTCGCTGACAACCTCCTCCTGCTCCACCTTCTCCTCGGGCCCATCGCCAGTGAGCAACGACTCCGAGGAGCTGGAGCCCAGTGCCCTGGAGGTGGTGGCGGCCATGCCAGTGGAGCAACCAGTGGAGGAGCCCAAAGCGGTTGTCGAGGACCTGGCCGTGGGCCTCTCCTCCATTTCCATCAGCAACAGCACAACCCCAGGAACACAGTCGCTGATGCCTGGCGAGGTGACGGCCTCCTCGATGCTGGGCAAGGTCCTGAACGAGTTGTCGGAGGATCTGAGCAGCACAGAGCCGGAGACAGAGGTCACCAATGGTCTGGAGGAGTTGCCACGCGGCGTGAGTATTCAGGCTGAGGCTTTTTGCCCTGAGAGACCTCCAACTAATGCTGCAATCAATCCCCTGCAGGAATCATTGCCCTCAGAAGCTCCTGCTCCGCCAAAGGAACCAAAAGCAAAGGATCAAGGGCCACGACGCCACCAGCCGATGACATTTTGCTCAACAATGGACGACATTTCCGACACGGAGCTGGACAGCATGCTGCAGGAAATAGATGTGGATGAGAACCAGGAGGAGCACGTAGAGGAGCAGCAGGAACAGCAGCAGCAACAGGTTGATATTCTCGAGGAAGAGATCTCTGCCTCGGCCTCGGCCTCTGTTTCGCCCGTCACCGAGGAGGAATCTGTGCGCATACTCTCTGACCAGGAGACGACGTCCAACGATCAACTGAACGTGGACAACTTCTCGCAGGCCTCCACCGTTGAGTTTGCAGAGCTGAAGCCAAACGAGACGGCCCCAGAGGTGGTCCCAGTCGAGGACATTGCGTCTTTAAGCAGCACAGAGTCGGACTCGCTGTCGGGCAGGAAGCTGGACGAGGAAGAGCAGACGAATGGCGACCAATTGCCGGAGGAGGAGGATGACAGTGTGGCTGCGGATGCCCTGGAGACGCAGGAACAGCGTCCCCAGCGACCACAGACATTGGATTTGGGTCTCAATGCTGGCCAGACGCCGCCAGAACCCACCGAGGAGGCTGGTAGCCTGCCCACTGCTGAGGATCAGCAGCTATCCCAGTCGGATGTCGCCTCGGCACCAACCGAAGACGACGACGAGAGCCCCATCTACGAGGCGGTGGGCTACAGCGATCCGCACGCCAACCTGGGCAAGGTGCCGCCCATCTGGGTGCCGGACAACATGGCCGGGCAGTGCATGCAGTGCCACCAGAAGTTCACGATGATCAAGCGGCGCCACCACTGCCGCGCCTGCGGCAAGGTGCTCTGCTCCGTCTGCTGTTCCCAGAAGTTTCGCCTGGAGTTTGCCAACGAGCCGGAGTCGCGAGTCTGTGTGCAGTGCTTCATGATCCTCACGGAGCGGGAGGCCTCGGGCGGCATTCACCCCGATAATGCCACCGCTCCGACCTCGGCGCTGCCGCCCACGCCCATGCGCTCGCCCAATCCAAACAATCCCATGGAGTATTGTTCGACGATTCCGCCGCACCATCAGGTGGCAGCCAGCTCGGGCGCACCGCCGCCCAGCGTGATTGTGCCCGTGGGCGTGCTGAAGAAGACGGACGGCAGCTCCAACTCGAATTCCTCCTCGTCGGACAGCAAGAAGGGCCGCAAGCGCAAGAGCGTCATGTTCAGCGATGGCATAGCCCCAGGCAGCGAGCTAGCCAGCACCATGGAGCAGCAGTGGGGCGAGGCCAAACAGGCGCGTCGCGGCGTGCCCCGGAGCAACGGCGCTGGCCAGAAGCCGCCCACTCCGGCAACGGAGGAACCACGATCCAGTATTGAGAGCGCCACCAGCACCACCATGGGACTGGTGGCCCAACTCTTCCGCGGCTCCATTCCACCAAGCGCCGCAGCGGCCACCCTCACGGCAGCTGAAGGCTCAAGCACAGGTAGGTAAGCAGCGTGAGAACTGCCATACAATCTGATCATTTCCCGCTCTCCCACACAGCTGGACGACCCACGGCCCAGACATCGCCGCGTCGCAAGGCAGAGCCTGTGCGCTCACGGAAACTGCCGCCAAATGGCGATGCCCAAGGCTGCTATCTGCCCGTCGAGGAGCACGCCCTGCCGCCCATTTGTGTGGCGAGCAAGGAGGCAGCCGGCAACTGTGACGTCGACTACAAGGAGGTGCGCAACGATGGGGATCTACTGGAGCGACTGCAACACGAGACGCTCAAGTTTATCCTAAAGAACAACTTTTACGTTCTGGTCAAGATCATTAACAGTGAGTGGTGCCACGATGCTCCTTGACGCATAATGCATTTGTGTGTTGTTGTTCCCCCAGTGAGCTGCTGCATGAACCGCTGGGTGCTAAACTTCACCACCTCCGGGCTGCACCACATGGGCAGCGATGAGCTGATTATTCTGCTGGAGATTAAGCCACCCAAGCAGGGTGACCCGTTTGCTGGTGAGCCGACAGTGCCGCGCGATGTGTTCCAGCATCTGTATGAGATCTATGTGGAGGCGGAGCATGCTCGCTCCAGCATCCACGAGTTGGCCTTTACCAGCCCGAGGAGCGCCAACTTTCTTGGATCGCGAGAGCACGGCGGGTTCATCTACATTCGGCCGACATACCAGTGCCTGCAGGGCGTGATTGTGCCGGAGAATCCGTATCTGGTGGGCGTGCTGATCCATCGGCATGAGGTGCCGTGGGCCAAGGTGCTGCCACTGCGCCTAATCCTGCGCCTGGGCGCCCAGTATCGCTACTATCCGTGTCCGTTGATCTCAGTGCGTGGTCGCGAGTCGGTGTACGGAGAGATCGCGCAGACGATCATTAATTTCCTGGTGGACTTTCGCAACTACTCCTACTCGCTTCCCGCCATCCGGGGCCTGTACATCCACATGGAGGACCGCCAGATGACGGTGATCATTCCGCGCTACCGCCAGCAGGACGTCATCAAGGCGATCAACAATGCCAGCGATCACATTCTGGCGTTTGCCGGCAACTTCTCAAAGGTGGCCGACGGGCATCTGGTGTGCATGCAGAACATCAACGACGACCGGAACGAGATGTACGCCTACTCCACGCAGGCCATAAACATCCAGGGTCAGCCTAGGAAGGTGACTGGGGCCAGCTTTTTTGTGCTGAATGAGGCGCTGAAGAGCAGCAGCGGCCTGTCCGGCAAGTGCAGCATCGTGGAGGATGGCCTCATGGTGCAGATAATGCCCGCCAAAATGGAGGAAGTGCGCCAGGCGCTGCGCAACCAAACGGACATCGACATCGTGTGCGGTCCCATCGATGCCAGCGAGGATCAGTGCGAAATAGTCAGCATCAAGTGGGTGGATAACAATCGGGACATCAATGTGGGGTAAGGCAACAGCTAATCCTCCACCGATCCACCCGCTAAATTAACTTCTAAATTGCAGTGTAAAGTCGCCCATTGATGACATGGCCATGGAGGGCATCTCGAATATGCGTGTCCATGCCAGCTTCAATTATTCCAATGCCAATTACGCTATCCGCTTGAGTGATATTTACATTGTTAAGGTGAGTTCATCGCAGGTAAAATATCAATGTCTTAAAGAAAATCGTATCCGTTTTAGTGCGATGATTGGTACGCAACAAATGGTGGCAACTATGCGGACATTACGCGCATTGCCGAGCAACTGGCAAGAAGCGCCTCGATGGCTCTGTTACCATTCCTCGATCTGCTTGCAGCTGCTGGCATCAATAAGGTGGGCCTCCGTGCCACGCTCGACCAGGAGAATGTATGTGAAACCGAAACCCATTTGCTGCAGCTTCTTAATGTTTCTCTCTATCACTTTCCAAAGGTGTGCTATGAGGCCGGTGCCCGTGGCTCGAAGCTGCCTCCTTTGTATATGAATGCGCTGGATAACCATCTGATAGCCACGCTGCATGGCGAATCGTCGGGCATACAGGAGCCCATTATCCTCGAGCTGGTGTTCTACATACTAAATGCCTGAATATAATCAATCCCCTCATAGTGCAATTCTTCTGCTGGAAACGAAAGCGATAAGCGATAAGTGAAAACGCTAAATGCGAAATACGGAAACCGTCTTAAGTCTAAGCCCAAGTCTACGGCTGATCCGTTCTCTAGTTGTATATGTCCGGGTGGCTCAGCTACAATAATAACTGTGTATATACCTATTTAAGTAGATCCATCGATTGCGTTTTGTTTCTACACTTTTCCACACCCCCCACTACCCGTCTTTCTATCATGTGCTTTGTTTTTCATCCTAGTTTATCGACAATGAATTTTTAATATTTGAGTTTTCATTGAAAGTAAAAAGTAAAACCTATCTAAGATACACCTTAAATATACATATATATATTTCTATGTGATGTTCTTAAATAATTCATTTCCACTTTGATTACTATACCTAAAGATATGTATTCTGTGTGCTGTATGAATTAAAAACAATATACAAATGTTGACAAAATCAACGTCATTTGAAAATGCAGGCGTCGAGGTAACATCACCATCAAAGCCTGTTAAAACTTAATGATTTACAAAAAAAACCTTATTCTGATGCATCTGGTTCTTACGAATCGGAACCAGCCTATTTGCGGATGTGTGGAGGAAGAGCAGTTGCAGCAGCTGCTGGCGGAGCAATTGAATGGCCAAAATTCTTGACAAGTGTTTCATTAGAGTTACATTAACATTATTGGAATTGGTTTTCTTTTCGACACAGTCTTTTTCCTGTATTTCCTGTGCCAAAGGTAAGACTCCCACTCTTTGTTTACACCGAGCGGGGTGCCTATAAAGCTTTTCCATTCTTGCAGGCAAATCAAGTCTACGGCGTGATGCAAAATTTAGAGGCTCTAGCTTTTATAGTCTCTGATATCCAGCCACCCATTAAGATGAACGGACGGACGAACGGACAGACAGATATGGCTATATCGACTCGGCTATTGATGCTGATTAAGAATATATGCATAAATACTTTATGTATAAAAGATAATGAGAAGTGTGAAAAATTACTCAACTGACTGGCTGGCCTAAATTTGAAGGAGATTGTGAACTCTGGCGACCCCTAACAGGAGATTTCCAGACCGTCAGCTCCTTTAAACTGAGGCATGAGTCTCTATTTAACTCTTTGAATAGTAGTATGAAGAGATAAATCTGCGCACTTTTAACTACATTTTAATTCGAAGTCAGTAAGTAAATAAGTAAATAAAGCACTCAAAAATCGTTGTTAAATTATGCTTTATTCAATTTTAAATGGTTTCCAATTGACTTTGCTGTGCGCGTGTCTGCTGTGTGAGTGTGTCTGGGCATGTCTGTATATGATATGTTCTTTATGGTGATTAAATAATCCCATTGGCAGACAGCAAGCACCAAAAAATGAGTTACAACTTTGAATATAACAACCTATAAATGTATATAAAAATGACGTGTGTGTTTGTTTTCTTCGATCAGATTGTACATACATAATTAAAGCCTAGAACGATGGGACAGAGAGCAGACGGACAAACCGAAATTTAGATAGTTGTACATACTTATTCTCTCTCTCTCTCTCTCTTTATGTATATTTATGTAGATATGTATTTGTATGTATATATGTACATAATGACATGGGGGGAAATCATCAGTCGAGTTTGAATTGATTTTGTGTACAGCAATTAACTTCTTGTTACTCTGTTTATTATCGGGTGTAGTATTACTATTTTCTTTTACGTTTTATGATTTATGTTTGTAGGTAGGTATATAACTTAAGCACTCTTGTCCCTTCGTTGTCACTCTGCACCCGTCAAACTGAGAGGCTCGTACTGGGCGTCTCTCTACAGCTCGTCGTGCTTGGGCCCGGAGAACTCATCGTGCGAGATGTAGCCGTTCTTGTCCTTGTCCTCATGCTGGAATATCTCCTCCACCAGCTTATCGTTCTCGGCCAGCATGTTCTTCAGCTCGGAGGAGTCCTGCCCCTCCACGGCGGTCATTTGCTTCTTCAGATACTCGCTCACCTAAGGAATAACAGTTGGAAATTTATTAGTTTCAGGATTCACTTCACAGTTGGCGGACAAAGAGAAGGAAGCTTTCTTTGGGGGGTTAGTAGTATTAGAAGTATATGGCCCAGAACCCAACGGAGTGTAGAGTGTAGAGTGGGTAGACATATCGTAATCAAAGTGCGATCCATACATATTCGATTACCTCTTCGCGACTCAGCTGCTTGTCGGCATTCTCGTCGATCTCCTTGAACACGTTCGTGGTGGGCGGGGCATTGCCGATATTGATCAGCTCCACGTCGAACAGAAGCGTCGCCTTGGGCGGAATCACATTGCCAGCTCCCTGGTCGCCATAACCCAATTGTGGGGGGATGGTCAGCTTGCGTTTTTCACCTTCAAATTTGTGCAAATAATTGTGCATTAGTTCTCTCTGGAGAATATTTCGGTTTGCGCACTTACCCACGCACATGTTGAGCAGGCCCTGGTCCCAGCCCTTAATCACCTGACCGGCGCCCAATTGGAATGTGAACGGTTGGTCCCGGTCAAAGCTGAAAGACAAAACAAACACAGTTACAAAATGTCAAACGTTTGCTAGATCAAAACTTTAAAGTGTATTAAATTCTCCTCCTTCTACCCTTCGAACAGAGACAATTCATCATTTTGTTGTATTACTTCTGTTTCTGAAGCGCCGTCGCGTTTGCAGTATATAAGGAGTGTGGACGTTTGTGGGACGCTTTTTAACGCGTCACTATTTTTATACCCTGCACTGAGTCAGTCAATGTAGCCTTCAGATGTTTAAGAATTAAATACTTTACGTCTCATCATTTCTTACATTTAGATGTAGAGAGAATAATCAAGCTGGAGAGGGTTTGTTGTTAATGCTGGTCGAATATACCCCTTAAATCTGCCGAGTACCGTCTAAAAAATGATTATTTATTTGATGGCTTTGCTAAGCGAGTTTACTTTAATTTGTTGCACGCATTAAGGATCTCCGCGTGCTGCCTGTTCAGGTATGCATGAGTCTGTCGCTGCTTGAGCTTGATGTATGATGTGTTTGGCGTGGCACAGTTGCAAGTTGAATTAGGCATCAGGCAGAGCCGCTGATGGTGATTATGATATATGGCAATGGATAAAACGAATGGCAGCGCAATCCTGTAAAATGTCACCGTTAAGAGGCTGTAAAGTGGGTTTATAGGCCACACCGTTACACAAACTCGTATAATCCAGAGAATGATACTAACAGTGAGTGTAAAACATGAGAGGGGTTACACTTGTTAAAGATTGGGATACTGGGAAACAAAATGTGTTTTAGTTTTCGCCCTAAACTCATTCTGAGTCCCAGCTCTTGTTTCTGCGCCTTTGTCCAACAATTAACATTGATCAGGGTCATATATAAAAGGCAAATCAGCTTTTCCTTGGCAGTTATTATTGTGGAAATCGCATAAATTAGCGAAATTTAGAACGCGCACAGGATAAAGCCATTGAGCGGCGTGAGAAGAATCCGCGAAACGGGAAAGCAGGAGCAGCTCCCACAGGCCACCCCTGCCGAGAGTCCATAAAATGTTTCACATATTGCTAGATATTCATGGAAAATAATGCAATAAAAATTCACAGCCACAGACAACGACCACCACCTGGGATTGTGGCACCCATGCCATGAGCAATACGCAAAGGAAAGGTGTCTTAGATGCCCATAATCCCTGAAAACAAACGGAAAAAAACCCACACACAGGCACACCCTCCTTCCTTTGCCCTAAAAGAGATACAAATTTTGTACGCTTTTTTATTTCATCTGGAGATTTGCACTTGAGCGAAAGCCACAACGACGACTGCGACGATGACACTTTGGTTCCGCTCCAGAGCCACAGCCAAAGCTCCACTTAACCGCTCTCTTTGGGTGTATCTGTGTGTGTGCTGCTCTTTTTTTTCGGGTGGCTGGATTATTCAGCGGCAATCCGCATGCCACATGCCGCATGGCCCATCATCATGAGGCGTCGCGTCGCGACTTCCAACTTGGAATTGAAACAACAGCGAAACAACATGAAACATGTAAAAATGTTTGCAAAATGCCCCAGAGATGCACATAAAATATTTAACAGACAAGGCAAGTGAGCTGCTGCTGCTGCTGCTGCTGCTGCTGCAGGCGGGGGCAGGTGGCACTCTTGACTCTAGCTCCAGAAGTTTGTGGCCCCCCAAACTCAAGGGGCAAAGGCGCTGCTACATGTGGGTGACGCCTTGTTAATCATTTGCAGCCGCTTTTCCTCCGCCTTCAAGTGCAATAATCTGTCTCGGATTCGCATCTCTCCGACTGTTCCCAGGGGCAGCACAGGAAAAACTTTAAAGTAACATTGTAACCCCCCCTCCCTATCAGGGGAAAACTTTCTCAACAAAAAACAACGATAATAATTTGACAAGGAAACAACAGGAGAGAAGAACTTTGCTGCCAGTTAGGAGTAGGCCCAAGTGACACATTTCAATTGTGAGATCTCCAGAGACTAAACAGTGGATCAAATTCTATTCGAACTTAATGGAAACTTAAGAAAAAGAAAGGCAGAAAGGTATTTAAGGAGTAGTCCTCACTCTAGTATAATCTTAGTTGATTTATGAAAAGTAAGTGGAAGGGAAGTTAAGGCAATGCTTGAATGAATTAAGATCTGATCTGATCCATTTACCCCTTCAATTTTTTTACACTTGCAACTTTAATTCACAAACGTTTAAAACTGTTGTAAATAAAAGAATAAAATCGTTTAAATGTGTTGATTTGCAGTCAACAGAAATCAAGGAATGACCACTGGCATGCCCCACTCCTACTGCTCCTCATGCCTGTCCTGCCCCAGAGACCTTAAATATTTATGAATCGCCTGGAAAGACAAACAAAAGGTCAACTCCAACTGCAGTGCCTGGCATTCCCTCCTCCGATTGGCAGATGTGCGGCGCGTGAACAGGTGTTTCTTTTTAAGCTGCTCGACAAACAGGCTGCCCCCAGCTGCTGCTGTTGCAGCTACTCTTGCTGATGTTGCGTAAGTCCTGTGCAAAGTCAAACAGATCTCATATGCATTTCGCAAGCGTTTCTCAGGTGTTTTCGCAAGCGTTTACAATGTTTTTCTCAGCTTCTCTACACCGAAATAGCCTTGATATTAAAGGGATTTTGGGATTGGTTTCTTTTTTGGTGGCGCCTTTATGGGCAGCGCATTATCATAAAGTCAAACAAGAAATGCCAACTCATTCATCCACAGCCTAAATATTTAAACAGTTTCGATTTCATTCTTTTGGCATTCCTGGCAATCCGTATCCGTATCTGTGTATCTGTGTATCTGCGAATGAATCCCCCAACGCAACGAATAATTTAAAATGCAACTGAATGGGCGCCCAAACATCCGTTTACCATCCGCTGCCATCCTACGTGATTCCGCACCGCAGGGGGTTGGCAGCCACCAGGCTGTGTCTGGGGGCAGGTGGCGTGGCGTGGCGCCTCCAAAATCATACCACGTCACTGCCACTGCCACGCTGCCAGTCTTCAGACACATTCAATCCAATCAAATTGAATCCTTTTGCCATTTTTCCAGGATGCTGGAGACCGCTCTCCCCAAATGACCTCGTTTTATGTGTCCGCTTGTCCCCGCACAAAAAAAAAAAACAGAAAAGAAGTTATAAAATCAAATATGCAACCGCAATTCCTTGGACTTCCCTTTGCTGCCTCCCCATTGGGGCGACAAGTTGCGATTAACTTGCAACCAAGGACAAGGACCTCACCTCACCTCACCTCTGGAAGCACGCTCTCCACAGAGATCTGGGCGTCCACGCCGGTCAATGTGCGAACAATTCACACAAAAAGTTTGAACAAGTTTTTGCAGCCGCCACGAAACACAAGTGGCGAGTGAGAGAGAGAGAGAGAGAGAGACACAAATTTATGCCCCACACAGATGGTGGCACGTTCGGGGAACCTTCCTACCCTTCTTCCGCCCAACCATTCAGAGCATTGCCGAAAAACTGCTGTAAATTCTGGAAAATAAAAATTGCAGCCGTTGAAGCTCATTAATTATTTAAACTATCTACAAATGTGCCCGACGTCTGAGTTTCGCCAAAAACGGGGGAAACCCATATATATTCCGTGGCAGGCCTGGTCATAAAAATAAGTCTGGCTGCCACTGCCACTGCAACAGCAACAGCAACAGCAGCAGCATGCCGTGTGCTGCCACATGGTAATGAGCTTTAGATTTACTGGCAACTCTGTTTCTCGCAGCCAGCCAGGGTTGCACCCACTTAATTGAGTGTTCATAAATGTAGCAATCGGTGGACTCCTACTGTGAAGATCGAACACAAGAGCGAGTCAAGCGAAGTCAAGAAATGTCTTCAATACAGAGAAATAGTTTTGTAAATTCATGGGTGGTGCCAGCGTCAAGCGAGCGAGAGCCAGCGTTAAGCGAGCGAGAGCCAGCGTCAAGCGAGCGAGAGCCAGCGTCAAGCGAGCGAGAGCCAGCGTCAAGCGAGCGAGAGCCAGCGTCAAGCGAGCGCGAGACAGCGTTAAGCGAGCGAGAGCCAGCGTTAAGCGAGCGAGAGCCAGCGTCAAGCGAGCGAGAGCCAGTGTCGATCGAGCGAGAGCAAGCGTCAAGCGAGCGAGAGCCAGCGTCAAGCGAGGGAGAGCCAATTAGTGTGTCATTGATCCAATTAATTTTCTATTAAATAAACTTTACCTCAACCACTTCTACAACAAAACAAACATAAATGATATTTTCCCTCTCCTCTTCTCGCTTCCTGCTGCCAGAATGCGTGTCAAGGTGGACACCTTGGACACATCTATGGTGCCCTCTGGCGGCCACTCAAGCAGATCCAAAGGCCATTTGCCAACGGCACTCCCCTGTCCGCGTCCCATCACCACCTCTGGGGGGACATTCAAGGTTGTCTTTGCTGTTGTTGAAGTTGAAGGTGGCCAAGAGTAAACAGAAACTTTCACTTTAATGCATTTTCTGGTCGCTGCCACCGCCACTGCCTCTGTTTCTTCGCTTTTTTTACGCACTCTGCTTTTGGACACTAAATTGCACTTGCCACAACGCACAGCACTGGCGCTGCTACAGTCAGTTGCCACATACAAATCATGGCAGCCGAAAAGCGACAACATCACAAGTTATGGCCCGATGCTTTAGGTAACTGACTTCTACTCTCTCTCTCTCTCTCTCTCTCACTCTCTATTGCTCTTCCTCTTTCTCTGTCTCCTGGCCACTTTTTAGTGACGTTGTCAAAAAACATGTTTCTACAGCTTCCCACCCAGCGAAAGGGGAGCAAGTCGTCTGTCTTCTTTAAAGCCTCTGAGGATGGACCCTGCTACGAAAGGGAAATCCAGATTGTTTTTCAGTGAGCCATGAGCTCCGAAACAATCCTTAAGGCACTGTGAATGTCAATTGGAAGGGTTACAATTATTTAAATACAATTTTTCCCTTTCCTTTTCTTTCCTTACACGCAAAACTTTCACCATTGAATAATTTGTATAAAAAATGAATATTTTTATTATCTTTAAAATGTTTCATCCCTGGTTCATAGTGCAAGTCCCTTCCTCACATTTTATCATATTAAATTTGTTGAAAAGTTTTTGCTGCTCTTGGCGGAAACATCAAAATGTTTTGGCCCCGTGAAACTCAAGTAACAAATTAATTTCCCAGGAACAATGACAACAAAAACTGAGTGGAGCACGTTGCACATAAGAAACTTCTATGGGGGCACAGTACACGGCACATATATCATATAAAAGAAGGAGGGAGGCGCTGTGTAGTCATGTTTCGCGTCACGATGATTAGAATATAGCGCGGGCAAGGAGACTAAATAATTTATGCGGCCAAATGAAGGTTTGCGGGTCAAAAAGTGGAGCCCAACTTGTTGCAGGACTCACTCTCTGTCTCTCTGTCTGTCTCTGAAGCCATTGACAAACTGTGGCCGCACGTGACATGGCCATGGCGCTGACAGGTAGACCTCCACAGCCACTACTCCGTTTGCTTCCCATTTTTTGTTTGGCTGAGACAATGAATATAAAAGCTGGAGACGGGCACGTGACTGGAGTGGTCTCTGCTGTTCGTTCTGCTCATTATTGAATTAGTTGTGGAAACGAGAGCCTTTTTTTTTAATTGTCCAAAGAGGTATAAGGTCTGTCCGAGAAATGGTTTGTAATCCTTTTTATAAGCAATCAAGCACGTATGCAATTGAAGGCTCCATCTGCTATCCTTTCTCCCGGAATTCTGTGTGTGCTTAGGACAGTTCCCATTTTGATTGGCATCTCAATAAGCATTCCGCCCCAATCGAAGGACTTGTCAAATGCACAAGAAAGTGCCTCTCCTTGGTGTATCTATCTTTTCTTAATTAAAGCCTTTGCCTCTCAGCTCCTCTACAGGTAAAAGCTTAATTATCCTTGGTAAAGGGGGGATGGGTGTATGGCTGGCTGGAGCCAGCTTTCAGGCACCTAATTTCCGTTGCAGTCCTTATGGCCCAAAAGCTGTTTGTGCCCTGAGGCGGCTGTGGCTGAAAAGAGATTTTTGCATAGCAACAAAAGAAAACTCTTTGGGAGAGATGGAACGCGGCAGGGAGTCGCCGACGTCGCCGCAGTCGACATCCTTGACTGCACTTGACTGCCAAAGTGCCTTGTTGTACTCTTGAAAAGGGCATTATGATTATGTCTAAATGTTTTACGGGCAGAGGAAGAAAGAGTTAGTCTATTTCTATTAGAGTATCCCAATCTTCGACTCACAAGAGGCTTGACTTCTTGCCTGTTTGTTGCCTTAGCTCTTTGGCGGAAAGGGGCAAATTTAAGCCGCATCAACAAGTGGCAGACACCGACTGGCACGGGACAGAAGGTGCACTCTCATTGAGTTAGTTAGTTTGCCTGCACCGACTGCCACGCCCACTCTTGTAGGGGGGCAGGTCTGTGACTTTGCCACGCTAAATTTAACAGCAATTGCAAAACTTTCAACAGAGACAGAGAGGGAGAGAGAGACAGAGACTACTCTGAGATAATTTGCCACTCAGTGGGCAACCAAAAGACAAGGTAAGCCCCGAAAACCAAAGGACACCTTTCGACTCCAGTGGCAGGCAGAGGCAAGGACGACGGTTTGGAGCACCTTCCATGGCTGGACATGTGAAATGAAATGTTTTAGCATATGGCAAGGTCTGCGAGGGTAAGGACCTGGAACGATTACGAAATCATTTCCTTTATGAGAGACACAATTTTCTGGTCGTAAAATGAAATCAAAATTTGATAAGCCAAAAGATAACGAGAGGACAGCCAGATACACAGAGAGAGGGAGAGAGAGGGAGACCCTAAGTTTGTGCCAAAATAATGTAGTTTATTTATGTATATTCACTAGACCATATATCAGCTGCAGCTAATCGCGATTCCACGGGTTATCTTGGCCACAGCCAACTGATATCGATGGGAATTCTGCTGTTGATAAATGCAATTTTAGCGCTTGACAAAATGATTACACGCCTCCCAAGCAGACCCCAAAAGACAGAGAGAGAGAGAGAGCGAGAGGAAAAGCACTCCCATGTGGGTGTGTTGGGTTGGGAAATATTACACTCTTTTGAGGAGATCTTTTTTTCAGCTTTAATTGGTTTCTCTGCTGTGCTGTGCGTATGTAAAATGAGAGTTGAAGTGGAGTGGCTGAGCTCATGTTTAAAATTAAGCAGACAACATACACGATTTATTAGTGTGTCGGGTTAAGGGTTCAAAATTGAAATGAGGGAATCGTTAGGAAAGGAAATCCGGGCTCTTATGCAAGTTTTGTGCTGGGAAAGTTCCAAATCTCACAACACTTTGACATAGCGAAAGCCAACTTGGAAATCTCTTCGAATTTTAACATTTTTAATCGAATACTTTAATAACTTTGCATGAATAGATGAACTGTTTTGTGTGTTTAAGCAACTTTAACCTCGCTCATTCACCCATGCCGCCATAGGAGCTGATTTCTTTGCTTTATGAGGGCCACGTCAACGCCGCACACACCCGACGGAAGCCGCAACAAAAACCAACACACACAAAAACAAAGATAAAGGGGGGAAGAGCGGTGGCATTCAGGCATGGAAAATGCAACAGCAACAGCAGCAAGAACAACAATGCAACAATGAGATCGCTTATCAGTTGGCGTCTAATTTACGACAATGAGCCGCCGTGACGACAGACTATGATGCCTATGCAGCACAGTGTATGCCCCAAACTGCACAATTTTAAATCCCCATTCAAAAAGTGTGTCCATGTTAATCTCGAATATATGTATGCACATATGCTGTGGAGATTACTGCAGCAATCTGCTTTTAAAATTGTCCAGCCACAGGGTTAACCCCTGACCTTACTGAGAGTGAGACTTACCTTGAATCGAACTTCTTGCCATCGGCCTGCAGGGTGCCAGTGTAGTGCATCGTTAGGGAGTCTCCGCTCTTGGACTTCTGCTCGCAGCCCTCCGGCACGCTGACCACCTCCACTTTGAGGTCCTCGGCGCGAACGAGGCTGCTGCTGGCCAGCAAAAGGCACGACAAAACGAGAGTAGACTTCAACATGGCTGCAAAAGATAGAAAAAGGGGGGTAAGACTCGAATAAACAACAAATACGGCTTTGATTTGCGTAAGAGAAACGAGAAACTGCAACTCGTTGGTGACACTGCACTACAAAAATGTTGACAACGAGCAAATCGGAGTCCTTTGGATGTTTGGATGGAGAATAAATAAAATCTAACGATCAGTGCTGGAAGCAAAGTCTCACATGATTCCAATACCTATTCCTATTAGTTTTCCTTCCTTAACTTTGAGTTAAGGAAAACCTATGGAAATCTTTGTGTAACTTCCTGCAGCCTCTCCATACTGCTGCTACCTCTGATCCCCAGCTGAAACAAGCCCTGATGTGCACCATCTTTAGCAATATAAGTGCAGATCCATCAACTTAATTATCTCTCGCCTGTAGCTCTCGTATCATCATCACCTGGCACTGATATTTCATGATGAGTGTTGCACAAGCGCGATAAATGTTGGATTTAAACCAATTACTCGTAGAGGTGGAATGATTTTGCTCAACAGTGTAAAATTAAATTGAAATGAAGAGTGTAAGAGGTGCATGAGGCGGATAGGGGCGATTGTGGATGGGATGCAAAGTGCAAAAATTAGTCATTATGCAAATGTGCAATTCATTTTATGGAGAGGGGCAGAGCCAACACTGCCAGCTTTTGCCATCTGCTGGACTGACCAATGCTGGTCTGACTGTAGCATGATAGCGAGGGGAAGAAGATTATGCAAGCCGAAGCCGAAGCCGAAAGTTATTGCGCGTTTTATTGCGGACATGGCGTATGCGTAATGTCCGCACAGGGTGAGGTGACCACAACAATTTGGAATTTCAGAGAGGTTGGTAGGTAGCCCCGCACACGTAGGGACGTGGGCAAGTAGCAAGTTCGCAAACGAAAGTTGCGGCTTGAAAGCGCGTAGGTCGAACGCTTGGCCCGTCGATGGCCCTGGCAGAGGAGACAATGCTAAAAATGATTTGCAATAAATTCAAAAAGCAAACAAAACGCAAACAACCTTTATATGGCATAAGGAGGGAGGGGGTACAACTTTCACTAATGGAAAGAAAGGCAATGAATAGTCAGATCGAGAGTGACTTCAATTACGTGAAATCGAAATTAACATCTTTTGGTCCCACTCTCCAACGACCATGTAACGGCAAAATGTAAGCAGAGGGTTACCCGGACATTGCTTTCCTTCCACCTGTTCCTGATATTCAACTCTTTTACAAGTCACATTAAATAAAAGGTCGGAAAATGCTGACACCACATTCGACTACTACAAATCTCCCTTCGACAATCTTTATGTTTTGAGGAGTCCGAGGAGAGAGGAATCAGAGACGATCTGCTTCTTTACTGCCACACCCTCGGAAGAATTTACCCTGCGCTGTTTCTTTTTCTTTCTTTCGCATTGCACGCCAGTGTGTGTGTGTGTGCGTGTGCTGGGAGTACCCAAAAAAACCTGTTGGGGGCGTACTGCTGCTTCTTCTTTTTTCTTTCTTCTGTTTATGTCGGATTTTTGTGTGCTCTTTCTTTTTGTTGGTATTTCTGGTTGTTGTTGTTGTTGTTGTCTTTACTTGTCGTGCTGTATAGCAGTTCAGTGAACCACTGCAGAGTACCGTTGGCCACAAATCTGGGACTTAATTTGCAGCCTACCGCTAAATGAATCGGATATGGAATGGAATGGAAAACTGCGGGAAAACGTAGACCAAGGCAACACGTCATGATTTTTCAACTTCCCTTCCCAAACGCTAATTGTTCCTATACGATACCAAGATCGGGGACAGCAAATAAGACGAATCGTGAATAGAGCTACAACAAAAAACCGAAATACCGCCCGGCAACATCTTTTTCCTTATGTTTGAAGCGATAAGCGCTGCGCTCTCTCACACGATTACTCTTCTCTTCGCTCTCGATATTCTCTCTTCTTCGCGGCGGATCATATGTATGTACATACGTACGCGTGTGGTCGTGGTCTGAATATGAATGAAAGAGACAGACTGCAGGCAAAGTACACGCTTTCTTTTCATTTCGCCTCTGATTGAACAAATTTCACTATATTTTTACGCTCGCCAAGCACACAGATTGGATGTTATACCTTTTGGGTGTTTGTCTACAGACAGATATCACTTGGGATGCTTGAATAGCGGTGGTGCGGGCGCGGCTGAGGATTATCGAGTGGAGACACAAGCACAGAAACACGCGAGCAACAGTGGCGGCAAATCAAGTGGGGGACTTTGTTGACTGTTGCGTTCGACTCTCGAGAGGCAACTGCTGGAAATATTGTCGGTCGCGGCGGTTTACTATAACGTAGAGACAGTGTGGCAGCAACAGCGATCACTGATGTACATATGTATGATCATGCTACTCAGTGTACTCAAATGAGAAGGCACGTTGTTGCTCCAGGTAGCAAAAGTTGCTTGCCAGCCGCTCTCCTTTTGAATGAAGCCCCGCAGACCCTCTTATTGGTGTACCCTGCTGGCACTCTCTCTCTCTCTATCTGTTTCTTTCTCCCCCCCCTATATTCACACAGTGAGAGCGACAGCACTTGTCCACGTAATCAAGTTGCTCGCGTCGAAGCTGTTCAAGTTGATAGCGACGAAGGCAGAGAATCTGAACTGTTCAGTTCCTATTTTCGCTGTTTATGTTCACGAGAGGAATTTAGGAGTTGTATTTAGTTATATTAATAGTTTTTTTTTATAATTTTAAATTGTAAATTGGACTCATTTCATACAATTTAAAATCTTTATAAAAAAAGTTTTTTGGTTTTCTAATTTAAAGTTTATCAACTTTAAAGTGTTTCTAAAATATATATGTAAACATTGTTACAATATTAATAAATATTTTATTACATTTTTTTTTAGTTTTTTTAATTACGTTTTCTTCAAACTGTAGTAATTTCCACAAAAATACAATTTAAACGGATTTTGTTTTCTAACAACACTTACAGGCAAAATGATAACACTAATTTGAATGGTTTTAAAGTAAAAGCCAGAAGCTAAATTTAATTTTGTATATATATTTTTGCAGTTATGTTTCAAAAAAGTCAACCAAAAATGCGAAGATTTCGAAAATCAACAGAATCTAGACAGAACGCACACAACCAGCTCGCGAAGTTTCCAAATGTTGACTAAAGGATGCTGTGGAAAAAGCTGAAGGCTTCACAGGTTTAGACATGTTGCTGGCAACATTCGTCCTTGGGGTAGTCGCTTAACATAAGGATAAGCTCCACCCCTTGGAAGGAAAGCGCAGGCGTCGTTCTTTGGGGATGGAATTAAGCCCATACACTTGGCTTGAAGATTGTTTTTCTTTGAAACTTACTTTTAAAACAACAAAATAAACATTTCTTACATTACTGATGGATTTAATTGAGCTTAACTGAAATATTTAGAGATCTTTTCGTCTCAGATAAATTGTTGCAACTATTGTCCGCTTAGTACAGATATCCGATTTAGTATGAGCTCAGAGTTTTCTACACAATCTACATGGGCACTCCTCTGAAAGCGAATTTGTCACCCTTGGATCACGTTACGCCCCACTGAGCCCCGTCCAGCGATATCGAGTCTTGCAGCGTGGGGCCCCAAATTGAATGAAATCTGAACAAATTAATTGGAAATCAGTTGGAATCAGTGTCAGTCTCGGCGCGGTCGTGTGTTGGTCCCCGAAAATGATGCAAGAATTACAGAACAACACCCTGGGATTCGCCCTCAAGCGTCGAAACGATCGGTTCGTGGTGGAGCCCATCGGTGGCATAGTGAATCCTGCCTATGAGCCCGACCAATCAGGAGATGCTGCATCAACCCGAACCAATCGAGGCGTTGGCCAATCAAAATGGCGAGTATAAAGTGCACAACTACTCACTCGGATAATATTTACAGAGTCCAAAAACTATAATCAGCGCACGATTCAGATCTCAAGGTCTACTTAGATGATAAAAATAACAAAATTCCATTCCATTCCGTCCCAACTTATCCGAGCAGCTGTTCATTGGGGAGTCCTAACAGGAGCTAGAATCCTTTGGTGTAGTTGGTCTTGGGTTTCTTGGCAGGCGTGCGTATTTCAGCCTTTACAATGTTCCTGGCAGCTTCCTCGTAATCGTACTCGATGATTGTTGACTGACAAGGGAGTAGAGTGGAGTGGAGCCGCTGGCTGCTGCTGGGCCCACCCACGTCGTCGTCCACAGACGGCTCCTTCTTAGGGTTGAAGGGAAGATCGGCAGACATCTCCTGGTGTGTGCTGAGTAGGACTTGGCCAGGAGCTTCTTCGACTTCAAACGACTCGACGAGGGTGCAGTTCGCCGATGTGACGCCATAGCGTTTGGGCAGGTTTGTGCCGGGCACTAGGGGAGAGTCGTCATCCTCGGTCTTGGGGGCTTCCGTCTTGAGTTGCTTCAGCCAGTCGTCCATGCGATCGTTTGGCTCCTTATTTTCCTCCTTCAGGTGCTCGTTGATCATGCTGGCGTACATGTCCCGCGTGTGATCGTAGTCGTCCATGTCCCACACACTTAGGAGCCGGGTGCTCAGCATGTCCGTGTAGCTGGACAGCTTGTAGGCAGACTTCTGCCATGGTCCGCGACCGACTTCCCTCGCCTTTTTCTTAAAATCCGGCTTGGGTGGTTCTGGCGACGCAGCTTCGGCTGGATCAGCATTTTCCTTTGAAGTGTTCGTCTCTTGGGATGCATGGATCTCTTCCTGCGACTCCTCCAGGCCGTACTCGATGGTGATTTCCTCAGGCTTCTCTTCTATAGAAGCGCGGCGAGCTTCCATCTTGAGAATGTCCCTCAGTACGGGAACGGAGTGCACTTCGGTGCATCTGAGTTCCTGCCTCTTGACGCACTTGTTGACTAAGTTCCCGTAGTAGGTAATGGGCGGTATGTTGTGGAGGCCCGTGCGGTGCTCCTCGGGCTGCGACTTCTCCCGCACCGTCAGCCGCTGACTGAAGACATCCCCGATGCTGTTGGAGGTCAGCAGCTGGGCAAAGCCGTGGTCGACGGTCTCTTTCTCCAGCATGCTGAAGCGCAGCCCTGTAACGCACGCCTTGACCCGCTCCTTCAGGTCCGCGTACACATCGACGAAGCCCTGCAGTCGCGCATCGACTAGGGTCTCCTCCATCGAGAGCGGCTTGTATGGAATCGTCGGGGAGGACATATCGTTGACGCTTTCGGCCAATGCACCTTTCAGCTCACAGATACGCTGATCGCTGGCCAGTAGGCTGCTCATGGCAACGTACTCGCTGCCTTCGTGCATGCAAGTGTCCATGAAGGTGGGCGGGTAGGTCATCTGGTGGGTCCAGGTGAGCACGGCGCGGTCGGAGAGCCTCTTGCCCAGACAGCGCATGTCGAGGCAGTGGAGCTTGTGGTTGCTGGCCACATACAGCAGATTGGGATTGACGCTACGGGCGAGGCAGGAGAAGGTCTCGCACTGAATCAGATCCACACTGCTGGCGTGGCAAGGATTGAGCGGCTGGTCAATGCGCACGTCCACCGTGAGCAGCATCGGCTGGCAGAGGTAGTGAAAGCTGCTGCTCCCCGAGGGAATCAGCTGGGCCCAGGTGCTGCTGTGTTTGTTGAAGGACTTCAGCATGCACACATTGTGCTTTTCGATGTCCTGCTGCGTGACGAGGTCCAAGAAGCTCACGGTCCGATCCTGGCAGGCGAGGGCCAGTATGTTAGCGTTGCCCGCAGCCTGCGCTGCGCTGATAAAGGGCAATTGCTGGTTGCTGAACTTGCATTGGCAGACCAGTTCGTACTCCTCGATCGAGTCTGACTCCTTCAGCTCGTAGATGGATATCTCTTTCAGGAAGCGTGAGAGGAACATGTGGCCGTGGTTCACGCGAAAGCTCTCCATTGGCAGCAGTTGAAATGCCTCGCTGGACGTTTCCTCCAGCATGGTCGAGTAAAGGGGATCCCAGAAAATGGTCTCGTCTTGCACCTCGGAGAAGTGCAGGTTCCTCAGCCTGTCGCCACTCACGTGCATGGCCAGGGTCTTGCCCTTGTAGCTCATTGTCTGTAGGTTGCCGCCCGTGTAGTAGTAGTCGTAGCTGTCCATAAAGTATCGGTTCTCCTGCGAGGCTATGTGTTCCGCAATGTCAAAGAGGCGTGCATCGTAGATTTTCTCCTTTTTCTTCTTCTCTTTTTGTTTCATTTTCTCGGTGCGATTGTCGTATTGTGCCTTTAGCAGCTGCAGCCGGTGCATATAGTCATCGTACGCCTGTGGCCGCTTCACGCAGGGCTCAATGAGGGGCGTCTGCCCGTCGCTAGCCACATATAGAGGCACCGGCGCGTACTCTCTGCAGCTGGGAAACATTTGCAGCTCCTCATCCGGCTTCACAGCGAATCCCTTGTTCAGCGAGGTGTGGCTGAAATGTGGCGTGGTCTCCATCACGTAGCGCAAACAGTTACTTGTCCGTTTGTTATCGTCCTTGCTTTCGTCTTCGGACTCTTGCCCTTGTTCCACTTCCTTGGGTGCATCCTCGCCATCGTCTTCTGGCTCGCGCAACTTCACTTCATTGGTACTCCAGTTCACACTAGCATCGTGGTTCGAGTTGTTTAGTTTGTCCAGCTTCCGCCTCTTGCTGTAGCGTCGCGGCATTTTGTCTGCAATAAAGAAACAATTCAGTTTTACCAGACAAGAGAGTTTCATCATAATTACCGTTGCTGCGGCTATTTTTGGTGGATGTTTAATTTTATTTAATTCTATTGCGTGCAAATAAAGTAATTATTAATATTCAGAAACCCGCAAATCCTAAGTATTTCCACATTTCATGTTTTGACATTCACACGGAGACTTACAGCTGATTTCACCGCCAGTGGAATTGCAGCCCTAGCAATCGATAGCTATAGCAAAAAACTATCGTTTAATGAGACACATTGCCGCGCTCACCAGGACAACTTGATCACCGTTCCATGATTCATTTCTTGTGATCGTCCTGGTGAAAGCATTTGATCAGCGTTTTTGATGCAATAATTCATGGATCGAATTTGGCACATGGATCGGCTCATATCAATAGCTGACAAACAGAGACAAATTATTTTAAAAAACCATGAATTCAGCTCACCATGGTGAAATTAGTAACAAGGTGACGGATTCAAAACAGTGCCTTCTCAAACGTCGACGAAGGAGGTTGGCGCATGATTTTTTCATTGTCTTCTTCTTTTTCTTCATTGTTTTCTTCTGTTCTTCTTCAATATGCATGTAACTACTTTTTTATTTTGGATGTGTAATGTAATGTGTATATAATTAAATCTTTATTCAATTACATCTTTTTTAGAAACAAACATGTCTGCAAAATATTTTTTGCTATGCCGCTCCAAATCGTTTCTTTGCTGTCAGCAGAAACAATAAAAGCGAAGACTGCAGAACGTAAAACGTTTGCCATCTCTCTCTAGCGCTTGCCTCTCTGAGAGCTGAGAGAGTGTGGTGAATAAGCAGGTGCTCCACCGCTCAGCTGACGATGTCACCTTGTTGGTAATTTTACCCTGAACTCACCACTTCCTTTTTGTTGAAGTAATGTTCCAATTTGATTTGACCACTCGCTCAGTAGGCAATTAGCAAGGGCGTATAATTAAGAAAACGAAAAAATGAGCACCTGTTCATGTCAATATCCTTAGTTTCACGTTGACCAGGATTGAAAACCCGAACGCTGCCATGGTTCATGGATCGGTGATCAAGTTGATCAATTTTATTTAATAGGGTTGGGAAAACATCGACTGTTTCCACTATCGATGGTGGAAAACCCAGATAGTATCAATACCGTCGGACAATTTGAAACCTCAATTGAGAAAGTCATTATGTACGAAAACAAAAAATATATTCAATTTTAATATTAATGCCCTCCTTGCCGAAACAATATATGTTTAATTATAAGAGCACCTTTTCAATGCAACACCTTGCATGCCCTCATCAACAAACATCGATAGCAACATCAAGGCATCCCTCTCCAACAAAATATCGAGAGCCCAGTCACAGAACAGATTCATCGTCGCGCTGTAGCGATTAAACACAAAAAAATAAAAACTAGCAACTAACTAGTTAGTCTGCGATTTTTTGGAAGATTAAGTGTGAAGTGTGTGAGAACGCGAACGGTTGCCTGCTGCCTGCTTGTGGGTGGAAGCGAGTGCGCAAACAAAAACGGGCGAAACGCGAACAGAAAAGAAAAGGAGCCGAATTACACAAGTTGTAAAACCGTTTTTGAGACCGAATATTGATTTTTTCATAGAATCAGTCGTCGCCGCGGTTGTTGCCGTTGTCCGTTTTGTGGAAAGAACAGTGGCTGTGATAACAGTAAAGAAAAGCAATTAAAAGCGTGCAGTAGTTGTCCACAACACGGTTACCTGTATTGCACCTGCCTGCCGTCTGCTAATCCCAAAGTCGACCCATTTCTGCCAGGAGGAGAGACACCACCACCCCCTACGCACACACACACACACACACGGCCAACGACGACGAGCGTCAGGTGAGTTTTGATGTCCACTAGCACTCTTCCACACCCACTCCCCCCTCACACTCTATCTTCCATTCTTCTCAAACACTGAAACACACACACAGACACCTACTACGCAAGCACGATGAACACACATACACACGCGAAAATAGACAAAACAAATGCAAAACGCAGCGAAAGAGCAGCAAAATTAACTTCATTTAATCATCGTAATATCTTACGCTGCCCCTCTGCCTTGTGCATTTGTTTTGTTGCATTTCTATTCAACTACTTCTACTGCTACTCTCCATCCCCCCCCCCCCCCCCCCCCCCCCCCCCCCCCCAACCCTCTCTGTCTTGTCTTTCTCTCACAAGTCTTAAAAACTGCGCTCGCCCCCATTAAAACACGCTGCATCGTCCAAACTTTATCATTTGCATCCATGTATTTGTAATTACTTTTTCTCTCTCTGTCTCTGTCTCTCTTTTTCTCTGTTTCTTTTTCCAATTAGCACAACTGTATTTTGCACTGCTTCTTCTTTCTGCTTGCCTATTTCTCCTTTTCATGCTGTAGTTAACAGCTAGCTGTTAAATGTTACCAACCTGCATGTTGTTGATGTTGTTGTTGCTTTTGCTGTCTAGCTACATATACTATATATCCGACTAATGCATCCCAATTTCTTCATTTTTTGTTCTTTTTTACTGATTCTTGATGTTGTGATTTTTGCTGCTAATTTTGACAAGCCCCATTCCATGGGAATGGCTCCATGGCTCTGACGTAATGCCAGCGCCTGTCTCTGCCTCTCCCCGTCTATCTATCCATCTATCTCTTCCTCCCTTTCTCTCACTCTGTCGACGTTTTCCCAGCTCTAAACGACCTCCAGCAAAACTTCGCCGCAGCACTGTGGGGCCTCTGCAGAGTGGAAGCGGAGACGTGCGACTCTCTTTGTTCCTAGAGTTTTCACCTGTTAGAAGCTCAACTGTACTTGCAGACATTTGTTATTTGCTGTTTTGTGAAATTTTATTGCTCGCTCTTTGTTGCGATTGAGGCGGGGACGGAGTGCTTGATGTAACGGTAACCTGTCGGCGCCATCGCCAGTCATTTTCCTTTATTCCCTTTCGTTTTCTATTCTCCATTCCGTTTGACTATTCTGCATATTTAATGCGTAGGTCAGTTTACCCACAAAACCCACACACAAGCGCATACACGAGCATACACACATGGATACAAAGGCAAACACTAACTAAGTCACACTCTAAGAAAAAGTTCACAAATTGCTTTTGGCGACTCCTTCTAGTTGTTGGTGGTTTTGATGATAATATGTCGTTGTTGTTTCTCTTGTCCACTCAGGTGGTTAACCTAAATACTCACTGCCCATTCTTCCTATTATTCTCCTGGCTCCATACCTCTTCCCTTTCGTCTGCAGTTGCGGCGGCGGTTCTGTTTTTATGTAACTTTCAAATCGATTGCAAACACGTAACAGTAAAGCAACCTGCACAGTCCGCCACCACCTCCAAAAACCCCGAACTGTCCTCCTGCTCACCCCATATCCTCGCATATCCTGCAACAACACACTGACGTTGAACGTGTGATTTTGTACGTCTTTGTATCCAGCAGCAAGGGTATGATTGTTTTGCACAGCAGTTTGGCAAATAAACTGTAAAGGCCAGTGAAATAAGTGAAATCTGGAAGATATTCCACTTTAGTACAGCCAGCATAAATCCCTGAAGTTATAGTTCAGTTCTTAAACAAATAGAGCAAAATAGGAATATGAATATAAATAGAAAATAAGAATTCGAGGTATCGCAACTTCGGCCCCTACAGTTTTTCCGTCTATCGTGTTTTTTCGTTGGCCTGCGGCCTGGCATAGCGTGACATTTCCTTTATGTGATTTGCTGTCGTTGTAGCTGTCCCTGGCCCCTGGTCCCTCTAGGCGGGCCTCCATGTTTCCCTACCCCTCTTCCAAGGAAAGCAGAACATTTGAATAATTTCTGTTTTGCAATTTTGTCGCTACAGCAGGCGATATATCCTTGAAAGGTTCGGACAAATTGCACTCAATCAAACGGGAAGGACCATGAAATCGTTGCAGTTGCAAGACTATTTCTGAGGGGAAATCAAGCCCATCCATTGACTGACTGACACAAAGAGGAGTTGCTCAGCGGAAGATCTACCAAAATGTCGAATACATGCATAGTTCTGTGACTATTTTTCCAGCTAGGGAACCTCCTCTCCAATGGCTTTGTTGTTGCCCGTTGACCTGCCAACGGTTGCCATGGCGCTCTGCCAAATTGTCGATATTTTGTGTGCTCCTTTGGCACGGACATGGGAATGGCCCGGTACTATGAGGTTGTACCTATAACCTGCTCTCCATTTGCCAATTTCCATGGCTCGACAAGTTTTTCCACCTCCTCCGCTGCTACTGCTAGTGCCACGGCTACTGCTTTCCTTGTTGCACCCTCGCGTACAAGTGTAATTATGAATAATTCGCCATAAATGGCACACGCTGTTGGCCTGGCAATTATTGGAATTGAAGTGCCCCAGATGGGCCGCTGATAAATCGCTATTCGCTTTATAGTTATACAATCTTACAGCCATTCCCATACTATATTTAAATATAAGTATTTCTGCATGTACCCGTGTTCTTCTGCTGTCATTATATCATTTCGTTCGGCCACAGAGAAAAGTGCAAGCGCAACTTTATCAGCGCCCATAAATCGCCAGGCAAAAGGTCAAAGTTGAGCTCTGCTGGTGCCTTCTGCAAGGGTGGTCTTAAGGGTCTTAAATGACTTACCTTGTAACCTCCAGCCTACAGCAGGCGGAACTTTAAATGGGATTCTGCCATTCTGCAATGTTTCGGTCCGTGCCCGTGTTTAAATGGTGGTAGAAATTGTTGTCGATTAGTGGCGAAGAACTGTTTTTAAACTACGCAATTTTAATAGTTTTAGGACAGAATATTAAAATAGGAATTTACTAGGTTAGTAAGAACGCTGTCCTGCAAAACTTGTGTGGTTTTCTGACAAATTATAGCCTTGGAGGGTATAAAAATCACGTCTTTCAGACGTGACTGATCGAGAATTGAAGGAAGAAATATGATGACCTCGTTATGCACTGAGCCATAATCCCAGAAACGAGCTGAATTAAGTTTGAAAAGATGACCATAGTAGGCAAAGTCCAGAAGCATGAGAATATCGCTAATTGTTAATCGTTTTCTGGAATATATGTACGTATTTTTTGATGTTTCGACTGACTAACAGGAAAACTGGGCTTTAAACTCTTGAATGAAATCATCCGTAAGTTACTTGTGTTTCATTTTCACTCTTACTCTCTGCTTCTTTGGAGACATGTCTCTTGCCTTTGCTGTGTGAATCAGAATAACTGAAAGAATCAGTCAAAACTTCTGTATTATTATATTATGATAAGCAGATAAGATAGGGTGCGAGCTTGAACAATTACTGGGGCAACATTGATGGAGGGGCTTCTACTTAAAAAAGCTTTTCATGGCAAAAGTTTTACTTTTTTTATTGCAAATTTATGCAGCAAAAGATGGGTATTGCTGCAGTTTAAATGGGTAATGACCAATGAAGCAACAAAAGTTATTGCGCTCTGTATAATAAAACTCTAAACAGCTCTCTCTCTCTCTCTGGAGGGTCACACGCAATGTTGTTCCAGTTCAGAGACGAGTTCAAAATTCGCTGCCCTCACTGCCGTTCATAACCTAAGACGCAAAAAAAAAGATTTATTCATAACGAGTTTTGTTCTGTTTGGTGTATGTATAATTTTATACACAGTTAAATAGGTATGTATACCTATGTGTGTATGGTTATTACTCCGAGTATATTTACGAATGTATTAATCTATATCTGCTTTAGAGCTGCGTCATAGCTGGCGGCAACCCACTCGAGTGGGGAGCTGCTTTTGATTTATATTTTTTGTTGCTTTTGCATTTGCCTTTGTTGTTGCTTGTGTTTCTTTTTGTTTTTTGTTTTTTGCGATTATTAGTTGATAAATTTGCTCGTGTGACGCACTCAATCAGCACCCCTCTTTGGGTAGAGGGTTCCCGTCGTAGTCATCCTGCTTGTGTGAGAATTTCATGGCTTTGGCACTCTTGGCCCTCATCTGGGCCAGGGCACGAAGCTGCCCGGACCCGGGTAACCTCTTGGCGCAAAACTGGGTTAATGTAATGCATACATGTGCTGCTACAGCAAGGGTAAGAGGAAGAGATGGAGAACAGAAGCAGATGATGGGCTGCAGTCTCTCTTCTTTCTATCTCTCTCGCTCTCTTTCTCTCTCTGCGGGCTGACACTTTGCGGCTTGGCCTGCATATTTAGTTTCAAGTACGTACATTGACGCCGAAGCTTTTAGAACAGTAAAGCGTGCCTAAAGGGGAGAACAGTGACAGAAAACACTAGCTGTATATGGGGCTTTAGATTTATTTTATGTACTTATAACTACATTTTCTCAACTAACAAAGTCTGGTTATGGTTTTCACATAGCGAGGCCTCACTGCTTATTAACCCTCATTAACTGCGCTTCTGTTTTGCTCTTCCCTCTTGATTAAAAGCATATTCTTTCACAGGGTGCTGCATTCCCACACTCCCACTCCCACTTTGTGTTCGCATATTTGGTTGAGCGCTCTCTCTCGCTCGGTGTGTCTTCACGCACTGCAAACCAAATATGCGCCATCTGGAGAGTGCTCTCTGGCAGAGAACGCACCTTGCATTAATACACTGATTTGCCCCACAGCTTTCAATTTGTGTGTGTTGTCTCTTTGTTGTTGCTGTTTTAGTTTTATAATTTTTGTGTACTCTTCTATTTATTTTTATATGATTTATGTTTTGTGACGTACCCGCCGCTGTCGCTGTCGCTGCCGCGCTGATCTCTCTGTCTGTCTGCTGCCTCCATCTATACATGGCGCACGCACACAATTATACTCCCACACAAACATCGACGCTGACGCTGACGCCGGCTGATGAATCAAATGCATTATTAATACACTCTCACACACCAAACCAACACATGCACGCACGCAATATGCATGCACAGAGGAGGAAGTTCCGTTTCTTTTCGTATTTCGTTTTTTTAATACGAAGACAAGACCCGAAGCAGGCTAAGTATTACAAATTAAAGCAAACAGTCAAGAGCGCAATCAAGCTGAAAAAATCAAGAGAAAATAATTAAAAGACAGAGAAATTAAGCAATGCCTCAGGCAGAGGGCGGCTATGTATCGCTGCCGGCTGTGAATGGCAATGGCAGTGCCATATATCAGTCCACCACCGAGCCCTCGGCTCCACCCTCCGTATTCGAGAGTGTCAAGCGGGTGATCGGGCAGGCGATCAAATCGACGCCCGGCGACAGCGAGGAGCTGTTGCGCTCCGAGCGCCAGCCGGTCATTGTAGGCGGTGTCAGGTAAGTGGTGGGAAGGGGGTGGTACTGCAAAAGCTCCCACCCGAACTCTCTTGTGCACTCCGAAGGTGTATTCTGTACAAGGCGAGGCCTCAGCGTTGCCTTTTTCCATCGCTCTCTGAGAAAAAAAATTAACGGCAACTAAATATTGTGAGAGCGCGCCTTGGCATTGCCATACCTTGCATAGGTACACCTTGGGCACTGCTACTATCAAACTTCCGCACTCGCCTTTCTCTTATTCAATCTAATCCCGTTCACTCCCTCACATTATTCTCACTTCCATGCCTTTTTCCCACTCTCTCTGGCTGCAAGCACTTATAGCGGAACATCAAAACTCTCTCGACCTCTTGACTCTCCTCCCCTTCCTTACCCGTTCTGTCAACCTCCTATCCTCTCTCTCCGCTTAATTGTGATTGCATGTGTTTTCATTTTGATTGTTGCCGTTGTTGCATTTATTTGTGTATCTTCTTGTTATGTTTGCACTTTGCATTTGATTTGTTTTGGCTACAAAGAATACACATATCCTGGACATATCATTACCGTTACATCATCACCCACATCCTCTCTGAAGACCCAAAATTGAAACAATAATATCAGGATAGAGCATCTGTAGTTGCCTATCCGAACATTCCGTCATCGAATCTTCTTTCGGGGCTCCATTCTGGTTAGCCATGACTCAAGGTCGAAGCTGTTTGCAGCGCAGTTTGCACTTTTACCGCCTTACTGCATTACCGCCCGCTCTGCGGCACAGCTTTGCCGTTTTGTCAATACAACAAACGTTCAGCGGAGAGCTGAGCAAAAGCTCCACTCAATCCACACACCCGACTCTACGGCGGTCGAGATAGCGGTTTAGTTGGACGCCAGCCGCGGTCCGACCCACATTCGTTCCATAGTAGATATTACTGTCCTCTCTTGATCTGTGCCAGATCTCAAGTGCTTTAATTAATATTTCCGCTGTAAGTGGGGCTGGAGCCTGTGCCCGTGATTTAGCTCAATTAATTTCGCATCCAAGTGAGACAAACGATTGTAACCGAGAGAGCTCGGAAATTCTCCGCTCAGTGCATTGCACTTATCCATGGGTCAAACCAAACTCACCCGGTTCGAACCGGTTAGAATAGGGCCTGGCACCGCCTTGAGTCGAGCTCTGTAAACTGAGAAGTCGAGGAGAAAAACAAACGCAAAGAACAAACAACAGATAACCGGGAACGGGAACAGTTATTTTCCATCAGTCTCTTTCCCGTAAAACCCTTTCCACCATACTCTTTATAAGCAGTGCATTTGTTAGTGTAGAGAATTTAACTCGAATGGATCCATGCCTATAAATTATTCAAACAAAAATGCCTATGGCCTGTAATTATACTATTAAATCTGTCCTTGACGAATATTCATCCCCTGCCAGAGTCGTTCATAATTACCAAGTGGTGGGCAGTGGATGGAACTTTCCACTTCCAACAGGCCATGCTCTATAAATACCTTTCTTGGGATTAATCAAGTTATCAATGAAAGCCTGAATTTCATTCCAGTTAAAGCTGTCCTTGTAGTAGCTCTCCTGGTGTAGTAGTCGAGAACATTGGCAAGAATTCCATTCGAATAGTTTTCGTTACTATATTTCTCCTCTCCTGTGGGACAGCTTAACGTTCCCGCTGTGACTGTGCTGTAACTGTAACTGTAACGCGCATAATCACGTAACCAATTAAAGGTGATAGCCACAAAAATTCCATTCCATTCCGGCAATTCCAGGATAATGAATCTACCTTTCCACAAGTTTCTATCCCTCCTCTCTGTCTCTCTCTCCTACAACATTAACTAATTGAGTTTGGGGCCCGTCCTTGCAGTAAAAGTTTTCTATTTGCCAAAAAAGCGTGTGGGAGAGTAAACAAAAGTTTTTCTCGCACACTCCACCTTTCCGTTTCCTGCTATACCGATGGTAGTGGAAGTTTAAGAGAGCTCTGCTCCAAGGGGAATGGAACGGTAAATTGTTATGGCAGCAGCTGGTCTCATATTTCTGGCGCCACTTGTCTGCTGTCTCTCTTTATCCGCCAGACATCTGCCACATCCCACATCGGCATATTTACCCCGAATGACATTGCGTGACTCATTTGCTTACGTTTTACGTAACGCAACGTGACAGCCTAGTCAGCGTCCTTGCCTCTCACTTCAGCCCCCCCTCCAGCTGTTCTTCAGTGCCGTCCTATCAAATCCACATTTATTCACATTCATTAAGTCGGCGAAATTCCTCTATAAAACTCTTCATCTCTCTTTTGCTCTCTGTGTATCTCTCTCTCTCTCTCTCTCTCTGTCTGTACATTTCTCTGTCAATCTCCCCTAAGAATTACTCAAAAGAAATATATATCTTTAATACATACATACATATATCGAAAGAGGTTTCTTGTTGATTTTTCGCATACGTGTTTAACCATGGAAAAGTCCTCAAGGAACTGCCTAGAGTTTGTGTTTTTTTTTGGTTATTCTTTGCTTGCATGCTCATAGACTCTCTTTCAGAGACCGCGACAAAACTGGTAAGACTCTGAACACCAAGATGCCGTCAGCACCGACACACACTGCCGAGGAGGCACACCTGCTGGGGTAAGCAAAGTTCACCGATCCCCAAGTACCAAGAACAACAACAGCCCAAGCAGCGACCGAATCAGATTCCCCCCATAAACATATTATAAATATATTCCCTATAAGTATATATTGTATAACTGGAAACCAATCCCTACTACGAATGTAAGATATTCGAGCAGCCCCCCGCCCGCTCACACACACACACTGGACACACTGTAAAAACCCTTACACTATCACACAAGTTTAGAGTTTTGTTTTATGTTAATTTGACACACACACATTTAGAATTTGATTTATGAATATCTCTATGAGGGAGACAACAAGTACTCGTAAGTTTTGTAAGTATCTTTGCCTAGATTTGAGTTGAGTTTCAGTTTTTTTGTTATGTTAATTGCAAGCAGACGATTAATAGAAATTAAACCCCATAAACAGCATCTTTCTATATCTATCTCTAACTCTCTCTCTTTCTGTCTCTGCCCTAACCCGAATGTTGATTAACCGAACTTCTTTCGTCTTGATTTGATTTAAGTTTTGCATTCACTATAAATACTATACGATACACACATTGATACATAAACTATATGCCATATAGTGCGTAGTCGAGCAGCGAGATCATGCCCCAGTCCTACCCAATAAACATTAGCAATATTAGTAGTAGCCTTATAGACCAGTCCATAGATAAGGATGCACCCAGAGCCATAGATCGAGTGAACAGCTGCCGCTTCTACAGCAACTGCTGCAGCTGCCCCCACTAATGAATCCAAATTATTCACCAAGAAACATGTTAGCTGCTTACTAATTGAATCCTTCGCTTTACCATTCCTTACATAGCACCATGCCCGTTGATCCCATGGACGACATCGAACTGCGCTCCGTGCAGCTGCACTTCCCGAATGCACGCGGCTCCATACTGGAGGCCTGCGACCAGCGCCGTGTGCCCACAGACAAGGGGGACATACACGTGGCCATACAGGGCGATACATCCAAGCCGGCTATCGTCACCTATCACGATCTTGGCCTAAACTGTGAGTACTGTTCTGTTAAACTGAAGGAAGCTCCAGTCTTAGAATACGTGCTCGCACAGATGCCACCAGCTTCGCTGGCTTCTTCAACTTCCCAGTGATGCGGGGCCTCCTGGAGAACTTTTGCGTGTACCATGTGACTGCACCCGGACAGGAGGAGGGCGCTCCAGCATTGCCAGAGGAGTAAGTCTTAAATGATCTGTAACGATCCTTCTCTAATTCTATTTCATTTCCATTCCAACAGCTACGTGTATCCAACCATGGATGAGCTGGCCGCCCAGCTGCTGTTCGTGCTGTCGCACTTTGGATTGAAGTCCGTGATTGGCTTCGGTGTGGGAGCTGGTGCCAATATTTTGGCCAGGTTCGCCCACGGCCATCCGGACAAGGTGGGAGCACTGTGCCTGATCAACTGCGTGTCCACGCAGTCGGGCTGGATCGAGTGGGGCTACCAGAGCTTCAACGCCCGCTTCTTGCGCACCAAGGGCATGACTCAGGGCGTGATTGACTACCTGATGTGGCATCACTTTGGCCGCAATCCGGAGGAGCGTAACCACGACCTGGTGCAGATGTATAAGCAGCACTTTGAGCGCGCCGTCAATCCGACCAATCTGGCCATGCTCATCAACGCATACATTCATCGCAACGACCTGCACCTGGCGCGCACTCCGCCAGGCACCCCGGGCACAGAGACGGCGGCCACCACGCTGAAGATGCCAGTCATCAACATCACGGGCTCGCTCTCGCCCCATGTGGACGACACGGTCACCTTCAATGGTCGCCTGGATCCCACAAACTCGTCCTGGATGAAGGTTTCTTGATTGTTTATTCCTCCCACTGTATGGTTTATTCGATTTCTGACTGTGACCATTTCCGTTTGCCTTTCAGATTTCCGATTGCGCTCTGGTGCTCGAGGAGCAGCCGGCCAAGCTGGCCGAGGCCTTTCGGCTGTTCTTGCAGGGCGAGGGCTATGGTAAGTGTTAGAACACGCACACACCACCACAACAACATCAACCAACTACTCCAACAACAACTGAACAACCTCAGCAAATCTCTGCTACAATCTCAGCAACCTATAACCTACTTAAACCCTCTTAACTATCTACTACTACTACTACTACTACTACTAATACTCTAACTACTCTTACCTACTACTAAACCCCAACAACTATCTTAGTCTTGACCCTCAAGAACCCCGACTGGGACTGCGAGCAGTCGTGGAGCTGCCTCGAGAGTCCGCTCCGAAGAGGAGCTTAGCTTCAGTTCAAGAACCATTCCAAAGAGGCACCTAGCCTAGACCCTCTACTATCTATCTATCTACCAACTAGATCCTAGAAAAACACACTCCAAGTCGCCTTCTGGCCTTACCCGAACCCCAAACCTTAGCCTAAACGGATGAGAGTCTTTGAGAATCAAAAGCTTTTCAACCCCCAAAAACGAAACAAACAAAACCAAAGAAAAACTATTATTAAACAAATTGTGCAAAATTTTATATTTAACAAATTTAAAAATTGGAACAAAAAAATCAATTGATATTCGCTCGTATTATGTTGAAGAAGCAAAAGTATTTGTACGCAAGAAAAGTATTTCAAAATAAAAACCGAAAAGTTGTTGAAAATCAAATCGTTTAGTTTACTTTCTCTATATATACGATAATCCATCCCCAAAAACCTTCCCCTAGATAGGGCCCCAACCTCACGAAACCCACTGAAACAGATGATACAGATAAACCCGAATACAATACGAAATCCCCAAATGCATTATCGCATCAACAGAAACAACAAGATATTTCAATATGTTCATTACTTTGTTTTTCATTTCTTTTTCCTTTCTCCAAAACTGCTTGTTTTTGCTAAAAACCAACATACCAAAACAAACCAAAAACAAAATATACAAAAAAAATATGAACACAAAATGCAAAAAAAATATATATCAAAACTACCTAACAACACGCCACACGAATCCAAATAAAAATCAAACAACAACGAAAAATATATGACACGAAATTGCACTCTGAAAACCACATCCCACATGCAACACCATCCATAAAAATGCACACGACCTTGGGTACCATTCACCCATCCATCCATTCATCGATCTGGTCCCCGGTCTGCGTCTGGGTTTTTGATGCCACAATAATTCTGATTTTCTTTTCGTTTCGAAATTCGTTTTCAAACACACAACTGAAATCTATTCTCTTCAACAATTAAAAAAAAAACAAACAAAAACAACTTAATATAACGCATATATGGTATGTATATTTGTACACACACAAAAACATACAATTACACAAAACTGTAGTATCCGAGAAGCCCCAGTAGAGGACGATGCACACCCCAACAAGGCCCTCCAAGGCACACAGCGCAGTAAAATACCGTTACGAAATTCTAGTTGGAATGCATTTAGTCAATTAATTAATAAAATAATACAAATTAACACACATACAAATATATACTATGTACTTATAAAATAGTCAAAATGTAGAGATTTTAGTCGAACCAAACAAAAAATACTCTCTAGTGACTTTTGCATACTGCCTGCACGAACACGTAGTTTGCTTCTTTGATCCCCTGGCTATGTCTACTACAGTAGAGTACAACAGCACAGTGCGGCCTGGCAACAACTGATGCTTTGACGCTTTTCCAATGCTCTTTGATTTTCCCCCACACACCCACCTATCCACACACACACACACATATACCTAGAACACCTTAATTAGATAAAAACCTATAATTTATTTGATGTTTTATTTATTTCATTTATTTACACGCAAATTGAATACAATAATACAACTACAACAACAATTACTACAACAACAACAACAACAAACCAAACAAAATAATTGTCAAAAAATCACCCAAAAACCGCAAAAAGCCGTTGGCACGCTCCAAAAGCTGGCACGCAAAATCTCAATGGCCAGTCGGAGCAGCTCCACACAAATTCAACTTAGTGTGCAGTAAGTGAGAGACAGAGAGCAAGGGGAGAAAGCCAACGGAAGAAAGCTTAAAAGAGATAGAGCAAGAGCAGCGGTGTGACGGCAGCACAGGCTCCACAGACTCCCCACACAAGAAGAAGACGGAGGGGTCATAGAGTGAGACAAATTGGAAGTAACCACACCCATAAAAAACATACACACAAAATACACCACAGGACATGCACACACACACACTCCCGCGAGCTCTCGAAACAGTAACGGTACAGCAACAAGTTGGACCCCGCCCTAGAGCTTTATTCTTTATTCATTTTTTGTGTGTGCTCTTTTTGTTTTGATGTTAACCTTTTATATTGATTATGGATTATAAATAGTCGTAAGAGAACTACATAAGAAGCGGCAACAGCATTAGTGTTCAATTTTATTTGTTGTCTACATACATATTTACAATAAATGTATTGCCTATGTATGGTTATGTGCTATACATATTTCCCTTATGTCTTGAATCTCTTATTTATTTATTTACTTGTCCTTAAAGTCGTGCTGTACCTACACACACACATAGCTTACACACATTACACCCCCACGCAGCAGCAGCAGCAGCAGCAGCAGCCGCCGCCGCAGCTTGTACGAGTAATTAAAGCAATAAATGTATACATACTTTCTACATGCAGTGCTATTATATACATACATACATACAACTACAATACATAAATACATACAAAAGTATATGCAAAAAATGGAAAAACAAAAAACTGAAAGTGTAAGCAGCTTTTGTTGTATATCTGAAAATTCTGAATAAAACGAACAACGTAAACTTTCGAAACAATAACGAAAAGAATCAACAGCAACCCTGAAAAAGAACTAGTTCCAGACGGAGTTGAGTCTGTTGTGTCTGTCTCTTTCCCACAGCCTCATCCGCGCATGCGCAGCCATCGATCCCGCCACTCATTCTCAGATCGCCTCATCAGCCAGAGCAACGAATGTCGCCGCATCATCCAGTATCAATCCTCAATCAAGATGCACACCAGACACAGACACCACACACACACATACACTCCCACACAGACATCTTTTAAACAGCAGCAAATCCCTAGAAAGTGTATAAAGAAAAACACCCATCAAGAAAAACCAACCAACCAACCAGTCAATCAATCAATCAATCAACCAATCAACAACTTACATGCTCAAGAGTAACATAACGTAAATAACTACTACCTTCCCCTCCAAAAACAACCAACAATCAACCAACCACTAATACTGCCACAGCAACGCCACTCTCGACACCGGCGAGCTCCCCGTGCGGCACCAAGTACCACACTTACTCCTCGATATTCTTCGCCAACTTCCGGGAGCAGCAGCAGCAAGCGATGGAGGAGCGCGACCGGGAGCGGGAGCACGATCGCCAGAGGCAGCTAAATCTCCGGATTGGCAATCGGCTACGCGAGACGGCCATTAACTGTACCAACAACGGAGCCGCAGCTGGCAACGGAGCCGGGGACAATAACAACGCCGATGCCAGCGAGGAGGAGGAAGATCAGGAGAACGGAAATGGAAATGGCAACCGTGCCTATGTCACCACAGACACATCCGGCACACTCTACTATGGCACACAGAGCAACAAGATACGCATCACCGAGAACCCACTGCCCGAGCCGGTCAGCTCCTAGATTGTTACGCCCCCCCAAGCCCAACCCTTCTTCCCACAATCAAGATAAACAAAAAACAAACTACTCCACACCAAGGTACATTAAATATATGGTCAGGCCTTAATCCTCACTTTGTTAATGTTGTTACAAGCGAAAAGAGAGCAGAAATATTCACACACACAGCAGCAGCAGCAGCAGCCGCAGTGCAGCGCCGCCGAAGCCGCAGCCAAGTCAAGCCAAGCTTCAGAGTAGACCTAAAAGCCGAGCCGTGCTCCAAGAGACACCCGCTACACTCCACTACAAACACACACACACACACAAACACACATCAGAGGTGTAGAAAATTCCAATAGTTACGTTAATCATTAAAGAGAATTCGTTGTTGTTTTCGCTTTATCCGATTATCGATCGATCGACAGAGAGTTAGCGAGTGAGAGGGCGGAGAGCCGCTCCATCGAGATATTTGTAATTTACACTTTGTGCCTGAGCGTTACGCATGCAGTACACACATAGAACATAGCCCCCCACCACCACAAGACACAAACACACACAACACACATGCAAATGTATGTGTATATCCCGCCAGATCGGAACGGATCGCGGCAGCTTAGGAATCCTTTTTTTTGACGAGCTTGCTTAGTTGTTGTGAAACGAAGCGTAACGAAATCAGAAACGAACAATATACAAAAAAAAAAACAAATATATATACATAATGTGTGCATGGATATATCCGTGCACACGGATAGATCGATTGAGATCGCGAAGTGGTAACGTAACTCAAAGATTACAAGCATTTTCGCTTAATGTTAAACAAAATGAGAAAACGAAAAACAAACAAAAAAACTGTTAACTTAATCCCCAAGAATAACGAAAACCTAAAAAAATGTAGCATATCAAAATAACGAAAGAAAATACGAATACCAAATACATAAAAATCTCTCAAAATTACATAAATAATTATACAAGAAAAAAATTTAGACAAATTGGACACAAGACCCCATACAAACACACACGCAAACATTAAGCCACACACACACACACACAGACGCTATATGATTATAGAATATATATATATATATATATACATAAATACATACATATAAATAATGACAACTTTTTGCAATAACTTCGAATTCAATTCAATAAAAGTTTTAGAAGCTTGAGACAAGTCATGCAGCCTTTCCTCTTCCTTCCTTAGCTCCCCTTTGGGCCCTCCAACATTTCCGATATCCGACGAATAGTCTCCTCACGATCCTGACGCATTAGTTCGGTCACATCCTGCAGAAACTGCTTCTGCATATCCCGCTGATGTCGGAGAAAGCTATCATTCGACTGCTTGAGATACTCCACTAGTTTCTTCTGCCCCTCGCTTATCGAGGTGAGCACCTCCAATGGCGTGGGTTCGGTTGCAATTTCGAAGGCATCCCCGCAGTCGTCACTCTCGCCAGCGGCCCTCAACAGGTCACAGCTGGAGGTGGAGCTCTCGCTGTCGCTGTCCAAGAGATCCGTGCGTGCTGGAGCAGAGCGGGCTGGCTTTTGGGAGCTGCTACGCGTGAGATCCTTGGGTGCGTTAATTAGCTCATCGAACAGCTGGAAGTGACGGGGCAGTATGCGCACATTGCTGAGGCCTTCCGTTCTGGCCTCACGATAGCGCTTGATGAGGAGCCGCAGCTTGTTGCGCAGCTGGTGTGGCGTTCGCTTGAAGGACTGCTTGGCCAGAATGTTGGAGATGTGCACCAGTGTCTGGAAGTTGCGCTTCTTGGAGCCATCTAGGGCGCGAAAGAAGCCGTTCTCCTTGATGATCAGCAGAAAAGCGTCCACCTCCTCGTCTGTCCAGAAGTGGGCTGTGGGCAGAAGAGGGATTCATTAGTGCCAGATTCAATGGTTGGATAAAGAGCAAAGTCAACCTCCTCCACGCTGCGAGATGTCACCGTCGTCGTCATCGCTGTCATTGGATTCACTCTCGCTGCCGCTGCTCAAGATGGGTTTCGCATCCACAGCCGACAGCTCCGCCTCCGTGGGATCGAGAAGCTTTCGCATTGCTTCGTAATACTCGAAAGTGTCGCCTCCGTTCTTGGCCTTATTGTACAGGCGTCTGAGCAGCTGGAACTTGATGCGCAGCTTGTCCGGGCCTTTGATGTACTGCCTTTTGGCCATTTCCTTGGACAGCAGCTTGAACACTTTGGCGTTCCGCTTGCGCAGCAGTGCAGCCTGCAGGCCCATGGAAGTTATTAGGTCCAGGAAGACATCAACCTCGCCCTCAGCCCACTTGCAGCGTACATTGCTGGGCATCGACGACGAGGCATCCTTGGCATCTGCAGAGGAATGGGAATGGTAAACACTTCCGTTTGCAGCTGGATTACATACCGTCACCGTCAGTGTCAGTTGGCGGGGCGACTTCCTCATCATAGCTGCTCAGATTGCTGTCAGTCTCGGGGTCCTTTTTGCTCTTCCTACCTGAAACGGACCTGGAGCGGCCATGGCCATTGTCCAGCGCCAGGCCAGCACCCGGACTCAGCAGGCGGGCGTATTTGAGTTCAGGTTCATTGTCATCTTCATTATTTTCCTCGAATGGGACGGAAGGTTTGTTCATTTTTTTATTTTATCCCGGCGTTTATTATTATTTATTTTTAATATTCCTATCGATAACAGACAGAATGCGGCCATCTGTGGCCGCGAAATTATCGATAAAATATACCGTCAGGGCCTCGATAATACTTTTTCATTTTCAAAATATACCGTAAAATATACTGTGGAAATAAAATGCATATATTTAAATAAAAACGTTTCAAACCCGTATTATTTCCCCTTTTGAGATAGTTTCTTTCCTTTCTTCGTAGACCTTAAAATGCAAAAAATTATTTTCCTTTAAATTAACTCTATTTACTATCTTCATCACTTTAATATTCTTTGGGTTGAGGAAAATACTTTTTTTTCGAGTTCGAAATGTCCAATACCATATATAGTATACCGTAAACGGTCAACCTGCCGGCCATACAGATATTTGTTTTTTTTTTTTATGTTGGGGGAGTTTTAAAAAAAAAGTATTTTAGGAAAGGGAAATCATAAAAACTATAAGATGGATAAATGATGTATGGATAAATGTGATAAAATTATAGTTTAAGCCGAGAAATACGATTTAAGATTTACGGTACATTTGCGGGATATTTTGGAAGAAGGTATATTTTAGTATATTTTTGCCGGGCGGGCGGTAAATTTGATAGATAATTTCGCGGTCACACTGGTGCGCGGTTCAATGGTGGCATTTGAATTTTCGCTTCTCACAGTTAAACAACTCGATCGCTGTTGTTGTCGTCGGTTAACGGTTGTTCGCGCGAATCAGTGCTATCAGTGCTACCAGGCACTGCTCCAAATAACAACTCTGCAGAGCAAAGCGGAGGAGTCTCTCTCTCTCTCTACGGCCAAAAATCCTACGGGAATCAATCAGAGTCGAGTCGAGTCATCAAATCAATGAGAGCAAAGTGCAAGTTTTATTAACAACTATTGCAATTACACCACCAACAGCAAGATCAGAGCTTTCAGGTGTCTGTGTGTGTGCGTGGATTGTTTGTGCGCGTGTGAATGATCGCCCATTGAGCGTTGTGTTGGTATTAGCCACTACCGTTGGCCTCGCGATCTGTGCCGCACCGCCCCCGCGCGACCTGTAAACACGTTAACTCAAACGCGATCGTTCGCTTTTCGAGTTTCGCATTTCGCGTTCCGTGGAATCGCTCGCTAAAAACAGATTTCGGCGAAACACTTGCCAACCCAGTGCAAAACGAGTAAAAATAATATAAAGTTTTATCTTTATACAACACAAAGGTAATAAACGGTTCCGCGTATTATTCAGCCAGTGACAGAACTGGCAGCGGGTTCTGGCCGGGCTAAGTCTGGCTCTGAGATGGGCCACGTTACGCTTCACTAGCCGCAGCCACTGCCGCAGTACCGTGTCCCAATCCCGACCCCGTCGCCCATTGCGAATTATCGCGAAAAGTTTGTAATCAAAAGTCTGAAATAAACAAAAACAAAGCCAAACACCAACACCAACACCAACCGATCCCGAAACGAATCGCGTGTTTGTACAGCTTATGAAAATAAGCAAAGCCCCAGGCAAACGGAGCCCCCAAGCGGATACAACGGGGAATAGAAATTGCCGCAACATGAGCAGGAGTCCACCCGGATCGATGGGGATCGCTGTGCTGATCCTCGTCTGCCTGGCAGCTGCCGCCTCAGCCTCGGCCGGCTCCAGCAATGCCGGCTATGTGGACCATGGAAATATGAAAGGTAAGCAGTTATCAGATCAGATAGATAGAACTGCAGAGATACTGCCAGTTAAGCATAGAGATAGGAATACTGAGATACGGGGATGCTGCTAGTGGGTGCTGGCAAGGTTCACGATGATACATCATTCATGTGCCAGAATGCAGACAAAAGACGCCACAGACAAAGATAGCGGAGGGAGCAGCACCCAGCAGTGATAAAAGAGATTCGATTCATTCAGATTTCAGGGTAGGAAATGCTATCTCTCTTTCACTCTTCCAATGCGTTTCTCAATCCCTCTTCTGCACATCGTGCATCTGTTGCTTAGCTCTCGTTCTGATTCGGCCCTTTCAGCGGGACACAACAAAATCAACAACAGGTTTCTCGAGCAGCACAGCTCAGCGCAGCGCAGCGTGATTTCTCAGTGTTCGCAAACAAGGTGTTTCCTTTCCTTTCCTTTCCTTTCGCTTCGTTTCGTCATTCTACCTTTTCTGCCATCTACCTGTGACTGCGTGGTCCAGGTAGCGGTAGCGGCAGCGGCAAACAAGCAGCCCCAGTTCCCATTAAGCATCTCCTAAATATATGAATGAAGTTCGGTTTGTCGGTGCCACTGCAGTATTTCGCTCGTTAAAAAGGACAACAACATGAGACAGTGGAATGAAATGCACAAATGCTTATTCAAATTGCTTTTTTCTATTACTCCATTTGCATGTAAAACGGCAAATGCTTTTAGAGTTCCTCCCCCCTCCCGCCAGTAACCCACTCTTCTTTTTCTTCTTTTGCTTTGTTGTCGATCGATGCAGAAACTGGTTTTGCGGCTCTGTGCTTGCTGTTTTTTTGCATACCCTTTAAAGAGGTTAAGAGGAATTTGTCGAGGCTTCAAATTATAGATTCAATCTATCTACAATTTAAAGTGTGTGTCGCCCTTTTTACAGATTTAGAGTTGTTATGCAACTTTTGATGTCTGATCATCATAGATGCATAATGTTTCAGCTAGGGTATCAAAAGCTTCACCTCTGCAGAACTAGGCCTTCCTCTCTTTTGGTTTTTATGTCTCTTTTGCAGCAACATGCATCCCTGTCTCTCTGCCATACCCTTCAACGGCCAGGTTACGCTCTCCCTCTCTCACGCAAACACACACACACTGACGGATAGTTTTTGCGTTTTTTGTTTTTGCCAAGACTTCCTACCACCTGCCTGTCCCCCGAGTGGCTCTCTTTTGTCTTTTTCTGCCAACTCTCGTACGCATCTGAACCGTGAGATTTTATTTCATGCAAAAAAGAAGCAAGCGAAACAGCAAAGAGGCCAAAGGAAGGGGGCAGCAGCAGCAGAAAAAAAGTAGAAGTACTGTCTGTCGCTGAGCATGCGCAACACAGAGCCATAGCCAGACCGGCAGACAGAGACAGAGAGGGACAGCGAGAGACAGCGACCTGCAGGTGTTTTTTTGTTGCTTGCTTAAACTTAAAAAATGCATTGCACATCGTGGAACAAGGAAACCAGATTATAAATTATAAGTTTTGGCTCGTTGCAGCGGCAGTTGCAACCTTATTTTGCAGTGTGTGATATGGCCAAGATGGTTTCTGATCAGCTAACCTTTTTTCTTGGCAAAGAGAATATTGATAGGGGGGCGCCAGTACTGATCTCCATTGCCATATTTGGGCTTACAACTGAAGAAATGTTACAGAACAGAGAACTACCTTAAGGAGGTATGAAAAGTGATTAAAGATCTGATTGATTTTCCCAGTTCTCAGCTTATTGGGGTTGTCCTTTCGTCACTTTTTGCACAGATCACTCTATAATGTTCAACAATCGAAACTGGAAATGCATTTCCGTTTGCCATAGTGCTTACGAGACATAGTACCTGCCCCCAATGCAAGAGTATAACCCGCTTCGGAGTTGGATTGTTGGACAACTGGTTCTGTGCTCCGTCCTGTGGGAATTGTGCAATGTCAAATGTGGATGGGCGAAACATTAACATAAATGATGAGTCTGTAGGATTCGTTGGAGCGGTAAACCTGAGCATATTATGGCCAAGATACGATCGACGAACATGTCCATGATGAGAGTGGTTCAATTAAATGCGAAATTTACTTTTTATTATTTGCTGGCCAGCAGCGAGGAGCGAGGCCCCACCTCTGATCGATGTGGGGCTGCGCTTTCAGCGATTTGTGTTTTGTGTATTTTTGGAAGTGCACAAAATAAACTTTGACGCAGACCTTTGACTGCCAGTGAATCACGGCGGCAGCCGGCGGGAGCTCCTTATCGTAGCTGATAAGGTAGAATTGGAGTAGAAGAAAAATAATTACCCGGCCACCGGTGGGAGATTATGATGAAATCCGATGACTACGCCGACTGCGCACTTACCCATTGAAAGAGACAGAGAACGTTGAGCCATGGAGTTCAGGAAAAAGAGCATTAGACAGAGTGCCGTTAAGTGGTGTCTGTGTGTGTGACAAGTTGGTTCCAGCGAAAAGGACTCGAGACACAGGAACCGGCTAAGTGGCCGGCAAAGGATCGCCATTGTCACGGCCAGCCGAGTCGAGTGTCGGTCGTGTTTTTCAGAATCTTTCGCTTAAAAAAATATGACTGCGATTGGGTCTGAGACTGTCGCCGTGATAGGACGTGGAGGCATGGACAGAGGCAGTGGCAGGTAAGAGAGCAAGAGACTCGCCCACGTCTCGGGTTCTCGGTCGGTTCTGCTTTCTCCTCGACGGGTGTACGTGTACGTGTACCCAGGGCCAATCCATAAGTATCTGGTTTCATAAAGGACATGTCCATATTTATGCGCCTGGCGGATGCACAAGCAGAAAGTTCCCATGTTCCCCATATGCCGCACAGAGTCCTTTTAGCTGGAAAATGTATTGTGAAATCTGGAAAACCACTTGAGGCTTGAGTTGCATGCTGCATGCCTCATGCCTCATGCTGCACTCCTCCTCATGTCTTTAATTATGAAGAGGGCAAAGCGCCCACTTGAGAGCCACCAGCAGGTAATGTTCTGAGCATCTTTTCTGGACTGCCACTGCCACTGCCACTGTTACTTTATTGTATCCGCCAGATACTTTTCATCTGGCTCTTTGTTCTTGCTTTTTCGGGGGTAATTTCTGTACTTGGATTCTCACGTATGCTAAGAGGCAGCGTGGGACGCACAAGAGAGGAGGGTAGACCTGGTTGCAATCATAAATAATAATCAATTTCCTGTGTCCCGAAATGTTTCCCATCGCTACCACACAGCTCCACCTCCAGCTCCAGCAGGAACTTTTCACTTCCACTTTCCCCATTGGGCCCCAGCTGGCGCATGCAACTGCAAGTTTTCCTCCTCCTTTTGGTGAGAAAATTGAAATAAAATCTGACAGCACAATGAGAGGAGC